ATGTAAATTATTTTTCAAAGATTTTATCAAATTTGAATTTTTTTTCAAATATTTTACCAAATTTCAATTATTTTTTAAAAGATATTACCAAATTTCAATTTTTTGCACATTTTTTAATTGTTTATAATTGTAAAACTATTGTCTTTCAAAAATTAGTTTAAAATATTTTTAGAAAAGTAAGATTAAGAATTTTTTTAATTGAAATTTTTGAAAATATTCTACTCGTTTACTAATAAAAAATAAATAAATAAAAAAAATAAAAAAAATAAAAAAAATAAATAAATAAATAAATAAAAAGAATAATGGATGGTTTCAATTATAAAAAATTGAATTTTTGTATTTAAATCCATTTTTGTATTTAATCTCGAAGAGCTTTCGGAAAATTGTTAAAAATTAATATAGATAATTGATTGAGAGATGAAGTTTAGTTAAAAGTTGTAGAAAATAATTGAATTTTGTAAGTTGTAATTTTTAGAAATTATTAAATTTCAGAAGTTGAAATTTTTTTAAATTTATTTCCCATGAAAAAAGAAATAAGAGGTGTTTAAATATTTATTTAGCAAAATTATTCAAGTTTTAATTAATTGAATTTAGAAACCAGTGAAGAATCAGGTAAATAAGTAAAATAACATTTTTGAGACAAAACTGAATCGACTTTTTCTATTTTTTTCTATTTTTAATCGACTAAAGCGACTTTTTTTCGCTCGTTAAAGTCGATCCGAGGCCTATAAGAGTAACAAAAATGTAAATACAAGAAGAAAGTGGAAACAATTTTCCATTATGTATAGTAATTTTTGAAAATAATTAAAAAAAATTTCCTCCGTTCGAACGTTTAAAATTTTGGTAAAATAATTTTACGAAGAATGATTATACATTAAATATCTTAATTTTGTCCAAATGGAATTCTAATTAAAAAGCAATTAAAAATATCAAACAAGTATTAAAATAACAATTGAGAAGGAATTTTTTTTTTTTTTTTTTTGTGAACAAAAGATAAAAACAATGATTGAGAAAAAATAATGTTTAAAGATGAGAGACTGTCATTGGGATAGAAGAAAAAACTGTTTTGAAAAATTCGATCGTTTTTCCTCTTTACCTTGACTTAGGAAAACCTACCTCGTAAATGTATTCTCTGTTTTTTTTAAAGTGACCTTGAAAAATTGTAAATAGAGAAAATAATTTAATAATTTTTTTCTCCCTCGAGTTTATGACCTATAAAACACAATATTATACATATGCACGTGAGCTGTTCAATAAAACTATGACAGGTTTACCTTTTCAGTATGTATATAGTTTTATTTACAAATTCGCTTGACTCCCAAGTCATATATATACATATTTTGCTTATGTGACATCACGCACATGATGTAATCGCTCGATGGTGGTTCTCAATGCCCACGCACTCATATTTTCAAGCATAAGTTTTTCCAATTCGCAATAAATTTTAAATTTGATAAAATTCTATCATTCCTAATCTTTAAGTGTCGTGTCTATTTTTTTTTTTTTTCATTTTTCATAATAAAGTATATGGATTAGAATAGAGGAGAGTCAATGGACTGGGCGCGGCTATACGAATAGGAAGAAGTTACGGTATATTAAATCTTCTCTAGACGGATAGTTTACTATCAACTTCCGGTGTTAATGTTGAGTCTAATTCAGAAATCGATTTTCAAGTCTCGTGCCTATTTTCATTTAGAAAAAAAAAACTGACAATATGACTTTGAACTCTAGTTTGATAACACTTGACACGTGACATTTTGACCGCGATGTTTATTGCCACACCCAATAAGCAGGTCCTCGTTTTTTTTCTTTCTTCTTTTTTTTTTTTATTGATATTTATCTCGAAAAGCAAGTATAATGAATGCTTGTTAAATGACTCAGAATTGCTTCAGTATAATATACATTGAGGAGGAATCTATTTTTAGAGAACTCATGTTATGTAAAGATTAATACAAAATTCATAAGACACCTGTTACTTTGAAAATGAACTGTTCTTGCGCTTTATTTTCTCTACGTTCATTAATATATTTGATTAATTTTAATTATATACTGCTGGAATATTTTTACATTTTCATCGTCTTGGATTTTTTTTTATGTATTTTGTGATGTATATTGACTATAATGTCACGGTTATTTATAATTTCTGATTAATAGATAGAATTTATGTTGTGTACATTTTTTGTATACAATTTTTAGACGAGAATTTTTTTTAAAGTTTGATAATTTTTATGAAATTATTATAAAATATGAAGATAACGATTACTCTGAGTCGAAGACTCGGAGCGATCGTTTTCTTCATATTTTATAATAATTAAAGACGATCTAGTGATAAAATTATTATTTTCAATTTTTATTTAATGTTTTGTAAAATTTACAATGTTTGTAATTTTTGTATTATAAACATTAGTGACAGATGAGAAAAATCATGAAATTCAGAGAAAAGTTAAGAAATTTTATCAGAAATCCGGGAAAAATATTAAATTTCTAGAAATGATGAGAAAATTATGCACAGCGATTTTAAAAATATTCTGGAATTGTTTTAAAAAAAAATTTTTTTTTTCATCTTACAAACTTTGAAATTACCACGAATTATATATAAAACAAAACTTTAATTTTTTTCTATATTTTTGACAACAATTTTTAGAGATAGGTCTCGAATAGTTCGACTTTTTTTTACTATTTTTAAAAAAAATGCGACTTTTTTTACTTTTGTTCCAAATATAACGTGCAAAATAATAACACTTTTCTAGAATGAAATGAAAATTACGTCGATTTTTATAGTGTAAAAAGTAACTAGTCAAATATTTCAAAAATTTATTTCTGTTTTTAATTAATTTCTCTATAAGACAATTAAATTTTTGAAATACACAATTAAAAGGTTTTTGAATAATTCAAATTTTGTAAAACTTTATTGAAAATAAATGAGTTTTTTCAAGTACATATTTCATTAAAATATTTGAAAATCAAATTTTTAACGATTCTAATTGAAAATTTTTAAAATAATTGAATTCTTAAAAATTATAATGAAAAATCAAAGTGAAAATTATTTTTAAAAAAAAGTATATTTTAAATATTTTGAAATATTTAAAAAAAAAACAAATTTTAAGAATTTTTTTGTCATAATTTTCTATTAACAATTATTTTTAATGTTTTCTATAACAAAAAAAATTTACATTAAAATTTTTAAGAAATCTAATTTTTTAGAATTATTATTAACATTTTGAAGAAAACAATTATTTCAAAATTTTTAATTAAAATTCTTCAAAAAACTGATTAGTTTTTTAAATTGCAGTTACAATTATAAAAAATTGAACTTTTGTATTTAAATGGAAATTTTTTCAATTTATTATTTGAATATTAAAAATAATTGAATTTTTAAACATTTTCCATTACAAATATTTAAAATTCAATTATTTTCATGTTTTCAATTACATAATTAAAAAAGTTTAAATATCTAAAAGAATAAATTTCTTCATTAAAATTTTTTAAAAAATCTAATTTTCTAGAATTATTGTTAAAATTTGGAAGAAAAAAATTATTTTTAAAAATTTTAATTAATATTCTTCCAAAAACACTTAATAGTTCTTTAAATTGCAGTTACAATTATATAAAAAATTGAACTTTTGTATTTAAATGGAATTTTTTTTAATTTAATATTTGAATTTTTAAACATTTTCCATTACAAATATTTAAAATTCAATTATTTTCATGTTTTCAATTACATAATTAAAAAAATTTAAATATCTAAAAGAAAAAATTTCTTCATTAAAATTTTTTAAAAAATCTAATTTTCTAGAATTATTGTTAAAATTTGGAAGAAAAAAATTATTTCCAAAAATTTTAATTAATATTCTTCAAAAAACTTGATTTTCTAAAACTTCTTTTCACAAGTCCAATTAATGTCATAAAAAATTTACTAAATTTAAATTATTTAGAAATTTTTCTATTTTATATAATTAAAAAATTTATTACATATCATTCAAAAATTATGTAAAAATATTTAAAAAAAATTAATTTTAAGAATTTTATTTATTATAATTTTTTAAAAAATAATTTGTCAATATTTTTGGTTATATATTTTTAGTAATTTTATGTTAATAACTTTAAACGGAAATAATGAGACGTTTCAGTTAAAATTATTATAAAAATTAGAACTTTTGTATTTAAATAATTGAATTCTTAAAAAACTTTCCGAAAATTATTGAAAATAATTGATTCAGTGAAGAAGTTTCGTTAAAAGTTGTAAATAATTAAATTCTGGAAAAATTAAAGTTTGAATTATAAAAAATAGTTAACTTTCTGCATGTTTAATGTTGAAGTTTTAGAAGATTTTAAATTTTAAATCTCTGAAAATTTTAATTCATGTGAAAAAAATAATAAACGTTAAATATTTATTTAAAAAAAAAAATTGTTTAGGTTTTGAATAATTTTACAATTAAAGAGATTTATAAGTAACTGTATAATAAACATTTTCTTGTGTACCTAATTATTTTTACAGTTAAACAGAATATTTTTTAGGGAGAAAGTCAAAATTCTGCCTAGAAATCAGGAAAAAGAAAATGAAATTTTTTAGCAAATTGAAATTCACAAATTAGTAGAAAAAATATGTTTTTAATTTTTTTAGAATGTTTTGTTTTTCTTAATTTATTTTGTTTTCAATTTTATACTCTAATAACTTGAAAATATTCAAAAAGAAAAAATTTTCGTTGAAAACTTTAGGAAAATTATTTTTCAATCATTTTGGATGTAATGGAAATAAAAAGAAATAAATTAAAAGCAAGAAAATTAAAGAGAAGTCTTTAATAAAGGCAAAAGATGTAAAACTGTTAAAAACAGGATTTGTATTTTTTTTTTTGCTTTTTTTTTTCTTCAGAGCGCGTCTTATTTTAAAAAAGAATAAATTGAATTGAAAAGAAATAATTTAAAAAAAAAATTGAAAATAAATTGTATTTATATGATAGTCTTGTAGCTAATAGAGAATTTTTAATTTTTTGTTGCAGAAGTGCCCTTAAAAAAGGGTAGAGAATCAGTGAGCTGTTGGTCGGATTAGCAAAATGACGACCGACATCTCAGTGGTGCGTTCCGGTTGGGAATCGGCGCCACAACAGGAGATTGTCGACGAGTACGAATACGATGGAGGAAATTCCAGTTCAAGACTTTTCGAACGATCTCGAATTAAGGCCCTTGCCGGTAAGATTTTCTCTCATTTCTTCATTAATAAATATATTCTTTCAAATCGTTCGTCGATTTCACAGTTTCCAATCGAAAATTTAGAAGAAAAAAGATTTTCCCATTTAAATTTTTTTCTAATTTCTAATTTTTCTAATTTTTAATTTTTCCTATTTTTATTTTTTCTAATTTTAATTTTTTCTAATTTTTAATTTTTCTAATTTCCAATTTACCAATTGGATATTTTTGACAGTATTGTCTAATCAACAACTTAAAAAAGAAAAATTTCTTGAATAAAATTATTTTCTGTGTAAAAAGTATTTTTTCCCCGATTTTTGATCATAAACGTCCCTTAAAATTTTTTCTCCTCAATCAAATATTAATCAAGACGAAAATTATTCTCCAGGCGAACGTGAGTCAGTCCAAAAGAAAACCTTTCAAAAATGGGTGAATTCCCACCTCGTGAGATGCTCCTGTCGAATTGGAGATCTCTATGTCGATCTACGGGACGGAAAAATGTTGATAAAACTACTGGAAATATTGTCAGGCGAACGATTACCAAGACCAACAAAAGGAAAAATGCGAATTCACTGTCTAGAGAATGTAGACAAAGCACTGCAATTTTTACGTGAACAAAGAGTTCATTTGGAAAATATGGGATCACACGATATCGTCGATGGGAATCCACGTCTCAGTTTAGGTCTCATTTGGACAATTATTTTACGTTTCCAAATTCAGGACATCACCATTGAGGAGACAGATAATCAAGAGACAAAATCGGCAAAGGACGCATTACTCCTTTGGTGTCAAATGAAAACAGCCGGCTATCATAATGTGAATGTGAGAAATTTCACAACATCCTGGCGAGATGGTCTAGCGTTCAATGCCATTATTCACAAGCATCGTCCTGACTTGATACATTTTGATAGACTCTCAAAGTCGAATGCAATTTACAATCTTAATAATTCTTTCAATGTCGCTGAGGATAAATTGGGTTTGACAAAACTTTTGGATGCTGAGGATATTTTCGTCGATCATCCGGATGAGAAGTCGATTATCACCTATGTGGTGACGTATTATCATTATTTCTCGAAAATGAAGCAGGAGACGGTGCAGGGAAAGAGGATTGGAAAGGTGGTTGGGATTGCGATGGAGAATGATAGGATGATTCACGAGTACGAGAGTTTGACTAGTGAGTTGTTAAGATGGATCGAGTCGACTATTGAAGCGCTGGGTGATCGGCGATTTGCTAATTCTTTGGTTGGTGTACAGAGTCAGTTGTCGCAGTTTTCAAATTATCGGACTGTGGAGAAACCGCCGAAGTTTGTCGAGAAGGGGAATTTGGAGGTTTTGTTGTTTACCCTCCAGTCGAAGATGAGGGCGAATAATCAGAAGCCGTACACACCGAAGGAGGGGAAAATGATATCTGATATTAATAAAGCTTGGGAGAGATTGGAGAAAGCGGAGCATGAGAGGGAATTGGCACTGCGGGAGGAGTTAATTCGGCAGGAGAAATTGGAACAATTGGCGGCGAGGTTCAATCGGAAGGCGAGTATGCGAGAGACTTGGTTGTCGGAGAATCAGCGACTCGTCTCGCAGGATAATTTCGGTTTTGATCTGGCGGCTGTTGAGGCGGCGGCGAAGAAGCACGAGGCGATCGAGACTGATATCTTTGCCTATGAGGAGCGTGTCCAGGCGGTGATGGCTGTTTCTCAGGAATTGGAGGCGGAGAACTATCACGATATTGAGAGAATCAATGCTAGGAAGGATAATGTTTTGCGATTGTGGAATTATTTGTTGGAATTGCTGCGAGCTAGGAGGGCGAGACTTGAGTTGTCGCTTCAGCTTCAACAGAACTTCCAGGAGATGCTTTATATTTTGGATAGTATGGAGGAGATTAAGAATCGTCTCCTGACGGATGATTATGGTAAGCATTTGATGGGGGTTGAGGATCTTTTGCAGAAGCACTCGCTTGTGGAGGCGGATATTAACGTTTTGGGCGAGAGAGTGAAGGCGGTCGTTCATCAGAGTCAGAGATTCCTGGAGCAGGGAGAGGGTTATCGTCCTTGTGATCCTACGATCATTGTGGAGCGGGTGCAGCAGCTGGAGGACGCCTACTCGGAACTTGTACGCCTGGCGGTTGAGAGACGGGCGAGACTTGAGGAATCGCGCAAGTTGTGGCAGTTCTACTGGGACATGGCTGATGAGGAGAATTGGATTAAGGAGAACGAGCAGATTGTCTCGACGGGAGATATTGGGCATGATTTGACGACGATAAATCTGTTGCTGTCGAAGCATAAGGCTTTGTTGAACGAGATTCAGTCGCATGAGATGCAGCTGATGTCGGTCGCGGATGTTGGGGGTGAACTGGTTCGGCAGCAGCACTTTGGCGCTGATCGTATTCAGGAGAGATTGCAAGAAATACTGTCGATGTGGAATCATCTTCTTGATTTGGCGGCGTTTAGACGCAAGCGGCTCGAGGAGGCTGTTGACTATCATCAATTGTTCGCCGATGCTGACGATATTGATATTTGGATGCTTGACACCTTGCGATTGGTTTCTTCCGAGGATGTCGGAAGGGATGAGGCGAATGTACAGTCCCTCTTGAAGAAACACAAGGACGTTACTGATGAGTTGAAGAATTATGCATCGACGATCGAGCAGCTTCATGTCCAGGCTTCACAACTCGGCGAACAGGACGCGAAATCGCCGGAAGTTTTGGAACGACTAGCTTCCATTGATTCGAGATACAAGGAACTTTTGGAGTTGGCGAAATTGAGGAAGCAACGACTTCTCGACGCTCTTTCGCTTTATAAACTGTTCAGTGAATCGGACGGTGTTGAGCAATGGATTGGCGAGAAGAATCGAATGCTCGATACGATGGTTCCAGCGAAGGACATTGAAGACGTGGAGATAATGAAGCACAGATACGATGGATTCGAGAAGGAGATGAACGCAAATGCATCGAGAGTTGCAGTCGTCAATCAATTGGCTCGACAATTATTACACGTGGAGCATCCAAATTCAGAGCAGATCGTCGCTAGGCAGAATGAATTGAACCAGAAATGGGCAGAATTGCGCGAGAAAGCGGAAGGAAAGCGAGAAGCCTTGAATTCTGCTCATGGAGTACAGACATTCCACATTGAGTGCAGGGAAACGGTTTCGTGGATCGAGGACAAGAAACGAATTCTCCAGCAGACTGACAGTTTGGAGATGGATTTGACCGGTGTGATGACTCTGCAGCGAAGACTTAGTGGAATGGAGCGGGACTTGGCGGCAATTCAGGCGAAACTCGACGCTCTTGAGAAGGAGGCACAGCTTATTGAGCAAGATCACCCCGAGGAGGCAGCTGTGATCAGAGAAAGAATCACTCAGATTCATTCGATCTGGGAGCAATTGACTCATATGCTCAAGGAACGAGATGCAAAACTGGAAGAGGCTGGTGATCTGCATAGATTCTTGAGGGACTTGGATCACTTCCAGGCGTGGTTGACAAAGACACAGACACACGTTGCGAGTGAAGATACACCGACCAGTTTGGCGGACGCCGAGAAATTGCTCACTCAGCACCAGAATATCAAGGAGGAGATCAATAATTACACTGACGATTATCAGAAGATGATGGAGTATGGCGAGAGACTGACAAGTGAGGCTGGAGATGGGGATACTCAGTACATGTTCCTGAGAGAGAGATTGAATGCCCTCAAGGAAGGATGGGAGGAACTTCATCAAATGTGGGAGAATCGACAGAACTTGTTGTCCAATTCGCTTAATCTACAGATCTTTGATCGTGACGCGAGACAAGCGGAAGTTTTGCTCTCGCAGCAGGAGCACATTCTTGCCAAGGACGAGACGCCGACGAATTTCGAGCAAGCGGAGAACTTGATCAAGCGGCACGAGGCTTTCATGACGACCATGGACGCGAACGATGAGAAGATCAATTCGGTGGTTCAGTTCGCTGGACGATTGGTTGAGGAGGGACACTTTGCGGCCGATAAGGTGAAGAAGAAGGCGGAGAGCGTGAATGATCGTAGGAATGCCAACAGGGAGAAGGCCAATCAGCTCATGGAGAAACTTCGAGATCAACTTCAATTGCAGATGTTCTTGCAGGATTGCGAGGAATTGGGTGAATGGGTTCAGGAGAAACATATCACGGCTCAGGATGAAACTTACCGCAGTGCGAAGACGGTTCACAGTAAATGGACCAGACATCAAGCTTTCGAGGCCGAAATCGCTAGTAATAAGGATCGTCTCCAGCAGTTACAACAGTCAGCCGAAGAATTGATCCGTGAGAAGCCGGAATTGTCCGAGATTATCGGACCAAAAGTCACTGAACTCGCGGATTCGTTCGAAGAACTCGAAGTCACGACCCATGATAAGGGAGAGAGATTATTCGATGCTAATCGTGAGGTACTGATCCATCAAACTTGTGATGATATCGATTCATGGATGAACGAGCTAGAGAAGCAGATCGAGAGCACTGACACTGGTAACGATTTGGCTTCGGTGAATATCCTGATGCAGAAACAACAAATGATTGAGACGCAGATGGCGGTGAAGGCGCGTCAAGTATCCGAGTTGGATAAGCAGACTGATCACTTGCAGCGAACAGTGCCGGAGGAGAAAATGGAGGAGATTAAGGTCAAGAAAGAGAAGGTCGCTCAAAGATTCGAGCAGCTCAAGGCGCCTCTAGTCGATCGTCAACGACAGCTCGAGAAGAACAAGGAAGCCTTCCAATTCAAACGTGACGTGGAGGATGAGAAATTATGGATTGCTGAGAAAATGCCACAAGCAACGAGTATGGAGTGTGGAAACTCCCTCTTCAATGTTCATATGCTCAAGAAGAAGAACCAATCTCTACGCACCGAAATCGAGCATCACGAGCCGAGGATTAATTTGGTTTGCAATAATGGACAGAAGTTGATCAGCGAGGGTCATGAGGATACGCCGGTGTTCGAGCGATTGATCTCTGAACTGAATGAAAAATGGCAGGAGCTGAAGGACGCTGTTGATCAGAGGAACAGTCATTTGTTGCAGAACGAGAAGGCACAGCAGTATTTCTTCGACGCCACGGAAGCTGAATCGTGGATGAGCGAACAGGAACTATACATGATGGTGGATGATCGTGGAAAGGATGAGATTTCAGCGCAGAATCTTATGAAGAAACACGAATCACTCGAACATGTGGTGGAAGATTACGCCGAGACTATTCGTCAATTGGGAGAGACAGCAAGACAACTCACTAACGATCAACACCCGTTGGCTGATCAAATAGCCGTCAAACAATCCCAGGTGGATAAATTATACGCCGGATTGAAGGATCTTGCTGGCGAACGTCGCGCTAAGTTAGACGAGGCTCTGCAACTCTTCATGTTAAACCGCGAAGTCGACGATCTTGAGCAATGGATCGCCGAGAGAGAATTGGTCGCCGGAAGTCATGAACTAGGACAAGATTACGATCACGTGACACTCTTGTGGGAGAGATTCAAGGAATTCGCTCGTGATACGGAATCGATTGGCACGGAACGAGTGGCGGCTGTTAATGGAATTGCCGATTCTCTTATCGCAACGACGCACTCTGATGCGGCGACAATTGCCGAATGGAAGGACGGATTGAACGAAGTTTGGCAGGATTTACTCGAACTGATCGAGACTCGTACACAAATGTTGGCAGCTAGTCGAGAACTTCACAAGTTCTTCCACGATTGTAAGGATGTGCTGGGCAGGATTTTGGAGAAACAGAATGCAATGTCCGATGAATTGGGACGTGATGCGGGTTCAGTGTCGGCATTGCAGCGAAAGCACGCGAATTTCATTCAAGATTTGTCTACACTTCAGAGTCAGGTGTCACAAATTCAGGAGGAATCGGCGAAATTACAGGCGAGTTACGCTGGCGATAAGGCTAAGGAGATTACTAATCGAGAGGCTGAGGTTGTGGCAGCTTGGAATAATCTCCAGTCGTTGTGCGAGGGAAGAAAGGGAAAATTGGAGGACACTGGTGATTTGTTTAGATTCTTCAATATGGTGAGAACACTCATGATTTGGATGGATGATGTCGTTAGGCAGATGAACACATCGGAGAAGCCAAGAGATGTTTCTGGAGTTGAATTGCTCATGAATAATCATCAGAGTTTGAAGGCTGAAATTGACACGCGAGAAGATAATTTCATTTCTTGTATTAAACTTGGAAAAGCCCTTTTGTCTCGGGATCACTACGCCAGTTCGCAAATCGAAGAGAAATTGTCTAATCTCAATGATCATAGAATTGCACTTCTTCAACGATGGGAGGAACGTTGGGAAAATTTACAACTCAGTAAGTTTTTTTTTCTCAATATTAATTAATTTTTTTGTTTAAATTAATTATTTTGGTAAGAACGAGACCTGTTGGTCTCGTTCTTACCAAAATAAATGTAAACAAAAAATTAATGTTTTTTTAAAAGTACTTTTTGTATTTAATAAAATTGTTTTTTGTAGTTTTGGAAGTGTACCAATTCGCAAGAGATGCTGCGGTTGCTGAAGCATGGTTAATTGCCCAAGAGCCGTATCTCATGAGCCAAGAACTTGGCGTAAGTGTTATTTCTTTTTTTATTTGTAAATTGAATATGGCACTTTTTTTCGAGTCTAATAATTGTGATTTTATTTCAACAGCACACTATTGACGAGGTGGAAAATTTGATTAAGAAGCACGAGGCGTTTGAGAAATCGGCAGCTGCTCAAGAAGAAAGGTTCAGTGCCTTGGAGCGATTAACAACGGTAAATATTGCAAAATAATTTTATTTAATTATCAGTTAAGTATTATTATATTGTTAATTAAAATTAGTTAAAATATTGTCTTGTATTTTTGAACAAAAAAAAAATATTTCCTTTATTTGATTGTTCAGAACTTTAAGGCAATTCATTTTCGATTTTCTTTAGATGAGAAATTATTATTATTTATCAAAAAAAGAATTTAGAGATAAAAAGAAAGAAATTGAGGAAATATTTTACCTTCTTGTAAATGTATTTTTGAGAAAAGTAATCATATTGGTTTTTTGCAGTTTGAATTGAAAGAATTGAAGAGACGAGAGCACGAGAGAGAAGAAGAGGAGAGGCGCAAGAAGGAAGAAGCTGCAGCTGCAGAAGCCGCTCGTCTGGCTAAATCAACTCCTGTTACTAGTCCTGACGAACCAACGAGTGAACGGTAATTAAATTTTTTTTTAATTTCTTATAAATTAATTTATAATTTATAAATTAATTATTATTCTTTTTAATTATGCAAAAAAAAATTACATTAAAGTACATTCAATGTCTTCTTTGTTCTAATGAGAATTTATTGATTTTCTTCCCGTAGAGCCGAAGCCGACGGGGTTGCCAGTGGAAGGGGAGAGGATGATGGACATGGTAAGTCAATTTCAAACAAATATTTATTTAAATCGCTTATCAAACACGGTATTAATTCACTTAATCACAAAAAACGGATATATAACAAATTTTAAGTAAAACTCATTCATTATTATTAACAAAAGTATTAACAAATTTAATATTTTCTTTAAATTCAAATTTAAATTATTACAGAAATATTGTTTCCGTATTTTCTTATAAGAAAAAAAATTATTTTCTGGAACTTTTTGCTATATTATTAAAATTATACGCGGAAAGAAAACAAATATCAAATCTTATAAAAGAATCTTGTAGTTTGGAGAAAATGCGACAAAGAGAAATTTTATTTAAATTGTTTTTAGAAATTTTAATAGAAAAAGAAAGAATAAAATAATAGAATTTTAATAGAAATTTTGTTTCTTCAGAATTAAATTATTTTCATAAATAATAAATTTCTTTTCATTGATTTAATTATTTTTAGTACAATTTTTAAAAAATTTCTCGAAAGGTTAAATTCTTTTCAAAAATTGTAATAAAATTCTGTAGTGAAGACTTCAATTATTTTTCCAAACAATTTTAATCAAATTTTGATAATCAAAATGTTTAATTACAATTATTAACAATCACGATTATTTTAACAACTTCAAAGAAAAATACTAAAAGAAGAAAAAAAAATTTAATTACTTAATTACTTAATTTAATTACTTTTGAAATTTTTAATTAAAATTACATATTAAGAAACTACTTTATTTTCAGAAAATTTTGAAGAAATTCTTCAAAAGATTTTAATTATTTTTGAAAACACTAATAAAATTCTTCAAAATAATTCAATTTTTTATCAATATTTTGAACAAAATGTAATAATAAAATTATTAATTATTAACTACAATTATTAACAAAATCGATTATATTAAAAAAACTGAAGAAATGCTTCAAAAGAAATAAATTATTGTCAAAAACTTTTAATAGTATGTTTCGAAAGAATTCAATTATTTGCAATATTTTAAGAAAATTCCTAAAATGAATTCAATTATTTACAAAAATTGTAATAAAATTCTGAGAAAAATTCAATTTCTTCCTAAAAATTTTTCTAATATTCGATAATCAAATTTTTAATTACTATTATTAACAAACACGATTATTTTAAAAATTTTAGAGAAGTTTTTCATGAAATTTAATTACTTTCAAAATTTTCAATTAAAGTTATTTAGAAAATTCCATTATTTTCAAAAATTCTTTAAAATTGTTGAATAATAAAATAATAAAATTTCTAGGAAGAAGTCAATTATTTTCAAAAATTTCCATAAAAATCATTAAAAGAAGAATTCAATTATTTTTAATACATTATTTTTAATATTCAAAAAATTTTGTAAAAAGTAAAATTATTTAAAAGTTTAGGAAACAAAAAAGCGAAGAACTAATTTCAAATTGCGAACAGACTTTGAAAATACAACAATTAGTACCTAATATAGAAAGATTTAGTAAATTTTTATTAAAATTGAATTAATATTCTTGATATTTGATAAAATTAAATTTCATATAAGTTTTTTTCTTCTTTTAGTATTTTTTATATCAAAATTTCGCTTTGGCGCATTTTCTCCCTAAAATTAGATTTTACAAAGAATTTTAATTCTTTATAAAATTTAATTTTAACTTTATTTTCGTGTAGAAACTTCTTTCTACAACTTTCTGAAAAAGACAGTTTGTCAATAATTTAAAAATATCCGTCAAATTATCACCAAATGAAAATCAATATTTTATTAGTGATTCAATTGAGAAGTAAAATAATCCAAGTGTCAGGGACAAGTGTATATTGAAATAGAGATCCTATTCTTGAAAACGAAAGAAATTTAAAAGAAAACCTCATTTTACAAACTGGGTAACTGTGTTTGAGGTGAAATGGAAACAATGGGAAATTTAGTTTAACAAAACTAGATTGTTGGAAATAAAAAATAATTTTTTTGACAAAATTAAATGATTAATTTTTCTTACATTTTATAATGCCATCAAAATATTTAATTTCCGTTAATCATTTAATTTCGTCGAGATAAAAATGTAAAAATTGAATAAGCATGGAATCGCTAACAGCACGTTTCTTCTTTCTCCTCTTTTTCTCAAAAAAAAAAATCCGGTTCCGTGATTGATTCTTTCCTTAAAATAAATGTCCATTGAATCCTCATCCTAAAAAACTGAAAAAATGCACCTAAAATGCGGCACGGAATGCACAAACTGCAGCGGCACTCCGCAAGGCTTCTACACGAACACCACAACTCCAAGAAAAACCTAAGGAAGGTGAGTGTACGACGCCAAGTTTGATTGCATTGCCAAAAAAAAAGAACAATTCCTCCTTTTGGGAATTTAATACTTTTTTTCCTATTCATTTTTTTCTCACCTTTTTCCATAATATAATTTACTTTCATATATTCCTTTCGCCAATTTTCATAAAAATGATTTATGTATTTAATAATCTTTTTCATCTCTTAGCTGTATTATGAAATCTCTTGTGGAATTCGAGATGAAGCATTTTTTATCATTCTGGTGGTGGAACCTTGGATCAATCCAGTGTCATTGAACGAAAATTGTACCTTTATATCTGCACATTGTACATTTTGCTTCGATTATTTTTATATTATCTTATAGACATTTCAGACAATATTTGGAAAAACACGAATTTCTGCTTTTATTCAGGTGATGGTGCTACTTTAATCATCATTTTTCACGTTATTTATTACAATAGACTGAATATTTACTATTTTTACTATAATTAGTATTTACTATATTTAATATTTTTACTATTTAGTATTTTATTTAATATTTACTATTTAATATTTTATTTAATATTTACTACTTAATATTTTTACCATACGTAACATTGACTATTTTTGCTATTTTAGTTAAAATATAAATTACAAAAAGTAATTAATTTCTTTGAGAAAATCTATTAGATAGAGAGGTGAGATTCTATATTTAAAACTAAAGAAAGTTTTCCTTAAATAAGGTAAGCTGGCATGTTAAAAAGTAATTGACTACTTTAATTTTTTTTTTTCTAATAATATTTAATTTATTATTATTTAATTTTTTTTTACAATTCTCATTACATTCAATTCATCTCATGTTGTCGTTAATTGTTTCCTAAATTATTCACTATCATGTTCATTAAATCTTAACTTTTCATTATTCTCTTTCTATTTAAAATAATTAACATTTCAATGCTCTCTTTTTATTTAAAATAATCAACTTTTTTTATTGCTCTCTTTTTATTGCATTTAATTAAAAATTTGTAATTTGATTCAACAATTTTTGAAAATTAAAATAAGGTTAAAGTTTAAAGTTTTGATTTTCGGTTTAAATTAAGCAAATTTATTTTATAAATTGTTTTTTGGTAAAGTAAAAAAATATTGTTGCTAAATTTGCATTTAATTTTTAATATATTTTTTTAGATTAAAAATTATTTGACTATTTATAGTAGTTTAAATTTCAGTTTTCTTTTTGTAAAGATAAGAATATTTTTTAATTACATAATTAAATTTTATAAAGAAGAATAAAATTTATATTTAGCACTTTCCTTAAAAATCTGCTTTAATATGTAATGGGTAGTTGTAGATGAATAATTTCATAATTAATTGATGTAGTAAATAACTGTTTTTTGAGCGAATCGCATGTTAATAATTGGTATGACGTAGTGCATGGTCTGAAGGGCACGAGAATTACTCCCATGGACGAAGAGAAGCACCCTCGCACTCCGACCTCATTAAAACCTCAAATTTCTTCGACTCCTTCAAGTAAGTGTAAAAACAAAAAAAATTCGAAACAGAATTTTAAATATTTTTCATATTCCTCATCAAGTATTACAAATGATTTTTGAGAGAAAATGTAAATTAATTCTGTTGTTAAAAAAATCGCTTCTTTTTTTTTTACTTATTTTTATTTAATTGAATTTTATATTTCTTTTACGAATTTTATAATTATTTTTTATTTTTTTTATTCATTTTTACACTTTCACAAATTTCTGTAAATTAATATTGGTTACAATTTATTTAATTTTTATTTATTTATTTATAATGTCCCGCAGTCCATTTGGAATTATAGTCCGCTATAATTTACAATTTATAAATTTAATTTAAATTTGAAGACAAAATCGTTATTTTATTAATTTTATCGAATTTAATATTTTCTCAATTTTCTGCAAATTAAAATTGGTTACAATATTGAATGTCGTTACAATTTACAATTAATAGGTTTAATTTAAATTTGATTATTATATTTTTTTTTATCGAATTTTATTTATCAAATTTCTTGTAAATTAAAATTGGTTACAATTTAATTTCGTTAGAATTTAGAATTTATAAATTGAATTTAAATTTGAAAACAATCGTCACGATTGTCATTTTCTGATAAACGAGAATTTTCCTTTGATGTCAAGGGACAAATGTCTCCATATTTTTCAATAAATTGGGCATTTTTAATCACTCTTAAAACCTCGTCCACTGAGCGTGGAATCGCTGGATCATTTATTGTAACGTGGCGTAAAATTTGTTTATTGTCTATTATAAATAGAGCCCCCAATGGACTGCCCGAATTTTCATCTAAAACTCCATATTTTTTTGAGATACTATGATTTTTGTCTGATAATAATGGAATATTAATTTCGCCAATTCCTCCTTGTTTACGTGGAGTTGTTGTCCACACAAAGTGTGCAAATTTCGAGTCTGTTGAGACTGCAACAATCTCTGCTCCTGGGAATTTAATTTCTTTTTTATTTTTTCTAGTCAATTTAGTTTATTATTAAATTAATAGTATTAATTAAAAATTTTTCATTTATATATAATTTATGGCTTCCAAAAATATTAAATTAATAGAATTAAATTTTTTTGTAGTTTTTAGTCAAATCAATTATTTATATTAACATTTTTAAAAAATTTTTTCTAGTCAATTTCAGATCTATTTTGTATCTTTTTCTAGTCAAGTTAGATTTAAATTTATTAAATTAATAATATAAATTAAAAAAAAATTTTTTATTCAATTTATTTTATTATTGAATTAATAACAATTTTTAAAAAATGGTTTAGTCAATTTTTGGTTTATTATTAAATTAATAATTTAGAAAAAAATTGTTTAGTCAATTTAGTTTATTATTTGTGCTTTACCAATATTTTTGAATTCTTCTATTCGATCACTGAACTGAATTAATTCGGACGGACAAGTAAATGAAAAATCACAAGGATAGAATAGAAGAATTAGATATTTGTCCTTAAAATCTTGCAATGATATTTGGTGCATTTTAGCATCCTTAACTGCTACGCCAGACCATTTTGGGACAGGTTTAAGTAATAACGGTATTTCTTGGGCTTTAAAATTTGTAGAAACATCTGTAGAAAGTTCTTCGTCACAGCAGAGACTATTTTTTTGAGACATTTTGAAATTAAGATATTTATTCTACAAAGAAAGAAAAAATTAAAGAAACGAAATAATCACAAAAAAATTTTCACTCTTATGAGGTTAAATATATTTTTTATCAAATAAATAGTAAAAACACATTTTTTCTGTCGTTTTAAAACAAATGAAAAACAAATAGGTACTAAATTCAAAGTTGTTATATTTTTCAAATGACGAAATTAAAAAACAATTTTTAATAGAAATTTCAAAAATTGCAATAAACTTTATCCAAAAAATTCAATTATTTTTTTAAAAAAAAATTCTTCGCAAGAATTCAATTTTTTGCAGAAAGTCAATTATTTTTATAAATAATAAAATTCTTTGCTAGAATTCAATTACTTTTATAAATAATAAAATTTCTTAAAAGAATTCAATTTTTCCATATTTTCAGATTAAAAATTAAAATTGTTCACTTTTTAACTAACTAATTATTGGGTATTATTTTCGAAAATTAAAAAATTCGAAACATTCAATTATTTTCAAAAATTTTGATAAAATTCTTTATAAGAATTGAATTATTTTCAATATAATAATTTTAATTACATTACTTGAACGAATATAATTTTTATAAATTTTAATAAAATTCTCTCAAGAAATTTAAAAAAAAAAAATTGAAAAATTATAATAAAATTTATCGAAAGAATTAAATTATTTTTGTAGAAAACCAAATTCTTCTCAGGAATTCAATTATTGTGGAAAATTTTAATTAAAATCTTCGAAACAATTCAAATATTTTTGTAAATAATAAAATTCTTTCTGTAAATTCAACTATTTACACAAAAATTTCAAAAAAAAAAATATTTTTGGAAATTTTTAGAAAATAATTAAATTCTCCATTTTTTCAGAATTTTATTACAATTTTTTTTCCAAGCAATTCAAATAATTTGAAAAATTTTAATTAAATTTATCGAAAGAATTCAATTATTTTCGTAAAAAAACAAAATTTTTCTTAGAAATTCAATTATTGTCAAAAATTCAAGTAAAAATCTTTGAAATAATTCAATTATTTTTGTAAATAATAAAATTCTCTCTACGAATTCAATTATTTTTAAAAAATTTGAATAAAACTAAATTTAAAAAAAAAATTTAGAAAATAATTAAATTCTTATTTTTTTTAGAATTTTATTAAAGTTTTTGAGAATAATTGAATTCTTTGGAGTAATTTTATAAACATTTTACTGAAAATAATTAAATTCATACAAAGAAATTAATTATTTATGAAAATAATTGAATTCTTGTAGAAAATGTTATCAAAAGTTTTGAGAATAATTGAATTTCTGAAAAGAATTTTACCATTTATATATAAAAAAATGTTTTTACTCTTGCGAAGAATTTTACTATTTAAAAAAATAATTAAATTGTTTCGAAGAATTTTATTAAAATTGTATTGAAAACAATTCAATTCAATGAGTGTCTTTTTTAAATTATGAATCTGAAAATATTCAAAAACTGAAGATGAAATTTGAAATATAGATACAAAAATTAAAATAAAGAAAACTAAAATTAGTTAAAAGTTAAATTAAAGTTAAATTTAAACTACAGTTAAATTAGTTAAATTAAAAATTAGTTAATGAAGATGAAATTAATTAATGAATCAATTAACTAATCGTAATTTTATAGCTGTGAGTAGAAATAATTAAAAAACCTAATATAGCTTTTAGTAATTAATTAAAAAATCCATTTTGGACCATTTTGAAAAATAGTTAAACACTAGTTGTAGAGTAGTCTGTAGATTGTAGAAATAAAATTAATAACTATCAATTTGCATGAGCATGTTGGCATGAATATATATAATTTTTTTTGAAAGTTTGTACCAGAATGAGTCAATATTAATAAAAAAAAAAGTAATAATAATCATTTGCATTAAAGAAGTTTTAAAAAAAAGTCCCAAAATTCATGATCTAGAGATAAATAAGAGTAAGTAGTAATGCTTTAGTAAATCATTTAAATATGTGTTGTCATCTCATAAAGCTCCCAAAATTGGAATTGGATCAGAGTCTAGTACGTTGAGACGTAAGGAGCGAAGTCGCAGTAAATCGCCATTCCGCAGCTTCCGTTGGAAAAAAACAGCTAAGTCACCAAGCTTAGATCGCAGTGGTGTGAGCGATGACGAGCACGGTTTCTCCGGTAAGCGTTTATCATTCCCGGCTTTCACTAAATTCATATTTTCCAATTCATTTTTAAAGATTTTCAGAGGAGGAACCGTATTTCGCCCGGGGACCTTCGAATGAACGAGTCGCAGTTTATTTTATTAAAAAAAATCACATTACAGATTTATCACTAGAGTTTTTTTTTGTTGCAAGGATCATTTGTCACGAGGACCATTTTCGAATAATCGTTTGTTTTTACTAACATTTTCAGAATTTGGTGAACTTTAGATCTTCAACGAGAATTTTAAATCAGTATTTTTGTTTCAAATTTTGTTTTGATATTTATTTAGTTATTTATTTATTGATTTATTGATTTAGTTATTTATTTACTAATTTAGATATTTATTGATTTAGTTATTTATTTATTTAGTAATTTATTTACTAATTTAGTTATTTATTTAGTTATTTTATTTACAAGATAAGAGATTGAATTCAATCAGTAGGATTGAAATTATACTAGACTTTAATTAAGGCTTCTTTATGGATTCAAATTTACTCGAATCGCAAAAACCCGAATTAAAAATTATGCTAACATAATAGTTGATGTTGATTAATATTGTATTGTACTAACACTAATATTTATTTTCATCCCAGGTATTATTATTATTATTATTAATTTTATTATCAGCAAGATAGGAAAAATTATTTTACTCTCACGATTGCACTTGCATTAAGCTGAAAATAAGAAAATAATCACCATTTTGCACATTTTTAAATTTTTCTATAATTTAAATTCCCTGTCATTTGAAATATTCGTTTTTTATTAAAAGAGGGATTTTTTTCGCAGAACAAAGAAGTCCGACTGGCGATGAATTCGAGGGCGTGCTGGTGAGAAAGCATGAGTGGGAAAGCACCACAAAGAAGGCATCTAATCGATCCTGGGACAAAGTTTACACGGTTATACGAGGACAAAATTTGGTTGCTTACAAAGATCAGAAATCGTATAAATCCGCTCCTGATCAACCCTATAAAGGAGAAGCTTCGTTAGATCTACGAGGAGCTAGTATTAGTGTAGCTAGCGATTACACTAAAAAGAAGCATGTCTTCCGAGTAAAGTAAGTTTCGAGAGTTGTTTATTTATGGAGAGGGGGAAATTTCATTAAATTGAAAATTGAAAATTATAATAAAAATAAAAATTGAATTTAGTAAATTCAATTTTTAGTTTTGATTTTATTCTAAATTCTGCGTAACTGTAAAAAAAATTAATTTTTGAGGTTTCAAGATGTCAAATTTCAATTTTTAATTTTTAGTTCAATCAGTAATTTATGAAAATATTTGTAATAAGAAATAAATGAATATTTCGTTTACTTGAACATTTAAAACTCACAAATTTTTCATCATTTTCTAAATTTAAGTAAAATTTTTAATTTTATTCTTAAATGATTCTAAAGTTTTGAACGTTTCAATGAATTAAATTTATTTTTTTCTTCAAATTAATTTTTTATTACAATAATTTTACGTTACTATAAAACAATTAATTTTAAAATTTTCTAAATGTAGAATTTAAATTTTTAATATTTATTGCAATCAGTAATTTATGAAAATATTTGTAATAATAAGTTAAGAACTTGTGGATCATTTTTGAAAATTTAAAATTTGTTATTTTATTGTAAATTTAATGTTAATTATTAATTTTATTCAATTTTAATTTAATTCTAAATTAATAATAATTAATTATTAATAAATTAATAATTTAAATTTTATTCTAAATTTCGTTTTAGTTTTTAATTTTATTCTAAATGATTCTTAAATTATAATGGTTCAAATGAATGAAATTCAGTTATTTCTTCTTTAAATTAAATTTTTATTACCACAATTCTGTGTCACTAAAAAAATAATTTTTGAAGTTTTTAAATGTAGAATTAAGATTAAAATTTTGAATATTTATTGCAATTAGTAATTTATAAACATATTTTTAATAAGTTAAAATCTTGTGGATCATTGTTAGAATTTTAATTTTATTTTAAATGATTCTAAAGTTCTGAACATTGAAATAAATGAAATTTACTTATTTCTTCTTAAAATTAATTTTTTATTATTAAACTTTATTGCAATTTAAAAATTTGTGGATCACTATTCGAAATTTAACTAAAATTTTTAATTTTATTCTAAACTTCATTTTAGTTTTAGTTTTATTCTAAAATTGAATTTTAATTTTGGTTTTATTCTAAATTTAATTAAAATTTTTAATTTTATTCTAAACTTCGTTTTAGTTTTATTCTAAAATTGAATTTTAATTTTGGTTTTATTCTAAACTTCATTTTAGTTTAAGGTTTATTCTAAAATTGAATTTTTAATTTTGGTTTTATTCTAAATTTCATTAAAATCTTTAATTTTCTTCTAAACTTCATTTTAGTTTTAGTTTTATTCTAAAATTGAATTTTAATTTTGGTTTTATTCTAAATTTAATTTTAATTTTAATATTAAAATTTCAGGGATTACAGACTTTTACTTTTTCGCCTGTTTTAAATTTTGTCACTTATTTCATCTATTTTGTAAATTTTTAAAATATTTTTAATCAAAAAATTGATTTCAAAAAGTTTTTAATTGATTTATTTTTTAATAAATGTAGATTTTAATTTGTTAAAACATTCTTCTATTAAAATCGCTTTTGATTCTGAATTTAATTCTTCAAAATGTTTAATATTTGAATTACATAGAATTTATCTTATATTTTTATTAAGCTTATTAATTATAATCAATTAAAATATTAATATATTCAAATTCAGTTGATTTAAGTTTCAATTTATTCAAATCTTAAACAATATAAATTTCAAAATTAAAATTTTTGTCAATCAATTCTGAACGTTTACATGAATAAAAATTTTTTTGGGTTTTTGTTTCAAATGTGGCGCATTATTATTATGATAAAATTTGAATTTTGAAAATAATGATTCACTTTTGAACCATTTTCAAAGAAAAAAGCTACTGTGATCGCTGTAATTTTAATTAATTTGGTAAAATACTCTTCAAAAATTAAATCAGTTAAAATTACATTAAATTAAAATTATAATTTAAATATAATTATAATATTATAAAAAATTAATAAAAGTTAATCTATAATAATTATTTTATAATATTTGAATTAAAAATTGAATCAGTTATTCTCACAATTTGAGTCAGTGAAATTTATCTGAAAATCAGTTAAAAATTATTGAAATATTTAAATAAATATTGAAATATCAATTTTCGCTGATGAAAGAATTAAAAAATTCATTTTCAATATTTTCACTAAAATTTTACTGATTGAAATCGTGAGAGTAGTCAGTTAGTTAAATTTCACTAATTCAGATTTAGAAAGTACCGTTTTTTTTCAATTTAAAATTTATTCCTCATTTGCTTTGCAGGACGCAGAATGGCGCCGACTTCCTGTTCCAGGCCAAAGATGACACGGAAATGCAAGAGTGGGTTTCGGCATTAAATCAAGCCTCACAGGGTACTTCAGGTGCAAGTACATCTAGAGCACACACACTGCCCGCACCAACGCAAGCCGAAACAAAGCGGCGTAGCTTCTTCACTCTCAAGAAAAAGTAATTATATTTTATTTCCTTATGATATTAATGGAAATATTCTAGAATTTAATCGATTTTTTTTATAAAAAAAGAGGAGGAGAATTATATTTTCTTTCCTTATTACTTTAATGGAGATATTCTCATTTAATCGATTTTTTATAAAAAGAGGATATTTTAAGCAAGAAAAGAAACAAGGAATTTTTAGAAATTCTTCTATCTGAACTAAAAATGATTTTATCGAATTTTTTTCTATTATTTATTTATGACGAATTTTCTCAGTGTCGAATGTGGATTTTTTTCTTTTTGACAATTACGTGATTATATTTTTTTCAATATCAATCGGAATAATTTATTAATTCACTTAAAAGTGAGTTGGAAAGCGAGCTAAACAGCAATAAATAATTTACTATAATAATTTAAAGAATTTACTCTTTAGAAATGAAAATTAGTAGTAATGAATTTTTAACTGAGGTTCAAAGTTTTTTTATTGTACAATTTTGTTATTTGATATTTGATATTTAATATTTAATATTTATAATTTATAATTTTATTATATTCAGTAAATTTGCAAACTAATAATCGTTGACTAAATATTCGAGAATAATCGAAAAGGTAAAATATTTCCATTTTTATTGGCAGTAGCTTTATACGGCTCCTCTAGATTAAATTAGTTATTAGACATTGAAGTTTGCATGAAAGAGAGAATATTTAAAATTATATAAATAGCGAAAGAGGAAATTATCGATTATTGTTACGAAAATTGTTTCTGAGAAAACTTGTCTTTTTGGGGGGAAATATTTAGTAAAAAAAAAAACCCAATGAATCAATTTAAAAATTTTACGATTTGAAGAAAAACAGGTCTAACTATTTGTTTTTATTTTTTTAAAATAATTTTTGCAAGTTTTTTTTTCTTAATTTTCTACTCTTTCTACAATTCAAATTAGAGTAATCGCATGATGAGAAAAGCAAATGTCATGCGAATCATGTTCTCATTCCATTTTCATCAATTTATCGTTTAGTGGTAGAACAATAAATCATCTGTAGTTGCATTTTCATTGAAGAACAAAACATTTTTTTTTCTTTTTAAAAAATAGTATTCGGCTTATTAAGCAAATGAGCGAAGAATAATGTAAAGAGACTGATTGATAAACTATTTATATATATATATATATTTCTATTTATGTACAACTCTGGATTCTGTGAATTAGTTTTCATTTCATTAAATATACTACAGTATAGAAAGAAAAAACGATAAACTAGAGCTTGCAAGATACATCACAAACACATTCGATCATATTTGCATTTATCATATTTTTAGAAAAGCCAAAAAGTAGAATGCGATACCAATGATCGTAAGAAACTGTACACAATTGGAACAACATTTAGATGCGGTGAGTCGCACAATATCCTAAGTTGTTGCCGTTGTAATACTGCACGATTAAGTGATAATCATAATTATATATACCACTTATTTTTCTCCTAGTTTTTCATTAGTTTTTTTCCTTATGATTAGCTCTTTTTTATTGGGAAACGAAAGGAATGTTCTTCCAATTGTGAATGCGGAATGACATGATTATTGTCTCTGATAATGAGACGCGATAGGCATTCACAGCTTTTTGTTCAATTTGCACTATTCTTCATTTTAACAAATTAAACAAATTAAACAAGTAAAATAAATAAATTAATATTATCAATTATTAAAATTTTGCCGACTGATAGTTTCAACAAATACGAAAATAAATTAAAGTTAATTAATTTAATTAATGCTTTAAAGACGAAAGTTAAATAAATATTGAACTTTGAAATAATAATTTTCAATGTTTGAAAATATCTAATATTTTCTGATCCATAGATTATATATATATATTGATATATTGTATATGGGTTAAAAAAAGTAATTATCTGACAATGAAAATGAAATTATTTTTGAAAAGTTATTTTATCTAATTTTTTCTCTAATAATTTCTGAAGTATCGAATAAGCGACAGATTTATTTCTAATACTTGATTAATTTTAATTAACCCCTTAACAGTCCATGGGCCATATATGGCCACGAAAAGTCGTGCCACCTTTGCGTCTGTGGCCATATATGGCCATCTCAAAAAAAAATACTAAACATGATTTGATTTTAGTAGCGAAGTACATACTACTATTTTTGGGGTCGCTGAATCCGAATCTGAAGTCAGATTTAAAAAATTCAAAATGGCGGACCCAAAATGTCGACTTCAAAAAATAAAAAAATTTCAAATTCGCTTTAATCACGTTACTTGGGGGTTTTCGGGGTCTCTGATTACAAATATGATGTCAGATTTTCAAAATTCAAAATGGCGGATCCAATGTGGCGGATAATTTCAAGATTGATGCAATTCGATTAAAATTCGTTTCTCGGGGGTTTTTGGGGTCGCTGAATTTGAATTTGATGTTCGTTTTACAAAATTCAAAATGTCGGATCCAATATGGCGGATAGTTTCAAAATTTATGCGTTTCGATCGAAATTCGGTTCCCGGGGTTTTTTGGGGTCGCTGAATTCGAATTTGATGTTCGTTTTTCTAAATGCTAAATTGTGGATTCAATATGTCGATCAAATTTTTTGAATGTTGACAAATTTGTCTAAAATGTTTACTCAGGGGTTTTTGAGGTAACTTCATATTTTTTTCGCATCAATCTTGAAATCATCCGCCATATTAGATCCGCCATTTTGAATTTTGAAAATCTGACATCATATTTGTAATCAGAGACCCCGAAAACCCCCGAGTAACGAGTTTTAAGCAAATAATAAAAAAAAAATTTTTTTGAAGTCGACATTTTGGGTCCGCCATTTTGAATTTTTTAAATCTGACTTCATATTTGGATTCAGCGACCTCGAAAACCCCCGAGAAATGAATTTCCCTTAAAACACTTTAATTTTAAAATTATCCACCATATTTGGTCGCCATATTGGATCTGCCATTTTGAATTTTCAAAAACTCACCTCAAATTCGAATTCAACGACCCCAAAAACCTTATATATGATGAGTTCATATTTTTTTGTAAACTTTTTTTTCGGACCGTTTTTGGACCACAAGCGATTTTCAACTGGACTGCGAAGGGGTTAATAAGTAAATTATTATAATAATTAAATTAAGTAATTTAATTAATATTTTATTTTAGAATTGGTTTCTCTTCTAAAAAAATGTTTACCTTTTGCGAATAGATTCTTTTTGAATAATTATTTATTTTTATAGTTTTGAAAAAACGTAGAAAAACGCCAAAAAAGTTCACAACGTTTATGATCAACGATTGAAAGAAACAAAAATATTTTTCCTGACGAAAACAAAATTTTTAATTACAAAAATTCAAATAGAAAAATACTTTTTCTTCTAAATTGTTTATAAACGTTGTGAACTTCACCAATTTGTAGAAAATTAATTTGAATGATTGCCACAAATTTTTGTAGACTTTTGAGATTTTTTCGGATCATTTATTAATTTTATTTGTTTATCTTTTCACATCCGGGTAAATCTTATGTTCTACAAATGAAATAGAAAAATAAAATAGAAAAGAAATAGAAAAAAAAAAATAAATAAAAGAGGAAAAAATAAAAAATAAAATAGAAAAAAGAAAAAATAAACTAGAAATAAATAGAATGGAAAAAATAAAACAGGAAAAATAGAAGAAAATAAAATAGACGAAAATAAAATGAAAAAGTGAATAAAATGAGAATAGTGCAAATTTGTTCAAATCAAAGACTCGGATATGTTCGTTACTCTTTTTTGCGCTGTAAAGAATTATTTACAGATTCAATTTTTAGAAATTTTTCAAACGAACGTATTTTGATTAAAGTTTTGTGAAGCTGTGCAAGCCTAATTCGAGAGGTAAATTTTAGATGCTTGTTTCGAATTTTTCTTTTTCATTAAATATCATAGATGCATTTTTATTATATTATCGGTATTATATGTTGATGTCGAGAATTTCTGTTGTATCATTGTTAGCTATTCTGCCATTGATTTATATTATTTTTCTCGTCACTTCATTCCTTGACATGCTTTCGCTATTATAACTAGACGGAAAAAATTTTGTCTTACTGCTATTGCAATCAGAACTGGATTCAATAATCCAATAATCCAATGATAATTCAAACAATCTTTCGAAATGAATGTAAAAGTTTTTTTTATTTATTTTTATAGGAAACTATAAATGAATATATTAAAATCGAATTTAGAAAAAATTATTTTTTTTTTTTACTTAATTTAGTAAATTTCAACTTTTAGTTGAAAAAAGTAAATTAAACCAGAAGATAAAAAAGCGAAGTTGAACGTTGATTGAAGAAAAAAATTTATAAAAAATTGCTTTCTTCTTTCAGTCGTTGACAATAAGCTTGTGAATTTCATCCACGTAATTTTTGTTTGAATTAGATTTGGTTTATAGATTTAAAATTCAGTTCTGATTATTTTCTGCCATGGAATTTTTGTCCATATTATCTGAATAAATTGTACGTTAGTTTCATGAAAATTGAATTGTAGGATGAAAAAGTTAGATTTTAAGTTTTAGGCCTCCTCACAAAATGGAGATAATTTTGTAATTTTTTTTTTTTGGAGTTATTTTGAATAGAATATTTCCTTAATAAAATAGGTAGCAACACTTCTACTAGTTTAACTAGTAGTTTGCGAATAATTTATCTCGACATTTTGTTTCTAGTATCAAAATATTTATTTCTTTAATTTAATCTTATTTTTTAGAATTTTATTTATTTTCTAATTTAATCTTATTTTTGTCTCCTTTTTTCTTATCTTTTTTTTCACTTTATACATTTAATATTTTTATTCAATAGACACGTGTGGTACTTTTCTTAGAAGACAATGCAGATAATTTTATTATCTTTAAGATTTACGATAATTTCCACTAAAATTTAGCGATCTACAACAAAAGATTTTGTAAACAAAAAATTTAAACTATATATTTTTTTCGAAATTTTTTGCAAGAAAACCACTTTAGGTTTAGTAGAAATTTTGCTTTTTTAAATTTGTTATTCGAACGTTAAAAACTTAGAAAATATAATTTGTTGAATAAATTTTTAAAGAAATAAAAAAGAAAATCAGTTTAATCTTTGGGAGTAAATATTCTTTTTAATTTATAATTTTTAATTTCAGTTCTTATTTATTTGCTCACCGATTTAATTTCAACAACCCCGAGTATAATAATTAAAATACAGAAACGTAAATATGGTTTGTTTTAGAGAAAACATATTTAGTTTTAAATAGTTCACTCGTAATTGTCTCTGTTGAATATAATTGCTGCAAATCGAAAACAAAATATAAAACTTCAAATTTTTTTTATTGGTAGTTTTTTTTGTACGAAATAATTAATTTTCAGCATTGAATTTCAACAGAGAATGTTTGAAGTAAAAAATCTTTTTTTTATTTTTTTTCTCGAAGTTTTTGATATTTATAAATTACAATAGATGAAACGAAAGTGAAAACTTTTAGTTTATTTACAAATAAGAATAAAAACTCGATTATTAATTTTTTCTTCTGTGATATTTTCAGTTAAATTGGAGCAGTGAAGTATTGTTAGCCGCCAATAAGCGCCAGCGCAGCAACATGATCAGAGAAATATTTCGTCGCTCTACTTCGTGAAAGCTACGTTAATAAAATTTAAAAACTCTGGCCATAAAGTAAAAAATTGAAATTCAATATAACCGTGCAAATAAAACCAACAAAAAAAAAACGCTAGAGTTTGAGAGAGAAAAGAGTTGAAAATAGATGCGCGATTGAATAGAGAAAAAGAGAGAAGAATTTTGTACGGTATTTATGAATTTAATTTTTTTCTTAAATTATAGACACTATAATAAATATTAAGATAGAGAAGGTGTAACATGCAATATCCCAAGTTAGCCTGATCAATCTTTATTATTTCTCTTTTTTTTGGAATGCTAGAATCTTTTTCATTTCTAATTTAATAGAAAAAAAAACCGAAAAATACAAATACTGACAAATTGACGTAACGGAAAAATACCACGAAGTAGAAAGAAAAATAAAAATTGTTCAAATTTTTCACGTTCGGCATCGGACTTGTAATTTTACTATCGATTTTTTAAAAAAACTTTTATACAATTGTTGTGTAAAGTAATTAAATTGAAGGAGAATGTTTAATTTTTTTTAATTGTTTAGTCTTTGTTTAAGTGGGACAAATGTATTATTTGTCATTTTGTATAAGGAAAAAAAATTGTAGATTGTCTTTTCTTTTTTTGTTTTTGGGAACAACGCACAAATTGTATTAAATGTATTAAAAAAATGAATGGGAGAGACCTTTTTATCGTTGACGGAATATCAATATACGACAGTGTCATTTATCCTGTTACGTATATTTTTTAAAACTATTTTCGTAATTCTTGTATTCCATCAGAAATTTATATATATAATATATTATATATAATATTGTCTTTTTATTTCGAGAAAAAAAAATAATTGTAAAGCATCCCAAAATGCGTTTTTAATTACTGCCATGTATTTAAGAGATGCGCTAACTTGGGATGACGTATTATGAGATAGCTTTTAAAGAATGTTAAAGATGAAATGCTCCTTTAGGAGATTAATCTTATTGAAGATATTAAAAGCTGTAATGGACGAAAAGAATTTCTCTTCTATATAATTCCGAGTATAATAATAATTATACGAAAAAACGGTACAGTTATTATTTAATTCTTTAGATATCTAAAGTGTCCTATTTCTTGTTAGATGAGTGCATGGGTACAATATAATAATTAAAAAAAAAAATAAAATAAAAATATTAATAAAAAAAAGAGTCAAAATGAACTATTATGTGGCATGACCCATCTGATAAGAATTTGACACAGAATGTAGCATACTTGCTATACTCATTTTCTAATTGTTACTTTTTTAATATTTATCAGAGTCAAATCCTTCATTAGGAATTAAGAAATAAAAAAAAAAACTTAAAAATTTCTCAAAAAGCGCCCTGCCATCTTCGTCTGGAGAGCTTTTAACGCTACCCACGCTTTCTTTAGAGTTTCATCTCTTATTATCTCCTAAGGTGTATGCGACTCTGGCTTTTGTAAAGTGCTTTTTATCAAAATGAAGCTTGTTGCGTCTCAAATCGAGAAAGAGAGAAAAAAAGAAGAGATTTTAGGGGAAAAAAAATGTTTAAAACAAAAATATCTAAAGTGCTTTAATGCACATAATCTATTTGAGATGTTTTTACATCTCGTGTTAGATTTTTTTATTTTTATTTTTTTTTGAGAAAATTTATTAATTTGACTATATGTTTTTAAATCTGAGTCGCATCGCTTAAACTTACAAGATAAAATTGATATATTATTGCTCTATGTTTCTTTTTATATATAATGAGATAATACATGGATTAAGTTATATTGAAACGAGAATGATTATTATAAATAATATATAATTCATGAAAGTAAACAAATTGGTTCTTTTCGTTTTTCAAAAATTGCCTTCCTTGAATAGCAATAAAAATATTGAGAATATTGCAAGCAAAAAGAAATTCTAAATGAAATAGGAAAATATTACGAAAGCAGGTCTCGGATCGACTTTAAGGCGTAAAACAATCGATTTAATCGATTGAAGATTCAGAAAAAGTCGATAAAATTGTTTTTATTTTGTGTTCTCATTCAGTTATGTACGAAAATTTTATTTTGTTATTCGCCAATATTTTACTAATTTCTAAATTCAGTTATTAGAAAATTAGACAATTTTGTTAATTATAAATATTTTTATACTTTAAATTAATATTTAATATTTGAATTTTCTAAATATGGAATTGAAAATAATTGAATTTTAAAAATTCATTATTGTCAATAGAATTTTTCAAAATTTTAATAATTTAAACTTTTTAATTATACATTTGGAAATTTTGTGCAAACAAAAAAATACAATAAATTATCTTAAAAAAATTATCGGAAAATAATTTTTGAAAGATTTGACTACAATTATTATTCACACTACAAAAATCGAAATAATTTGTATAAAAAAAGTGGTATTTTCTCGCAATCTCTGCAAGAAAAATCGAAAAAGTCGCATTTTTTGATAATCAGTCGGAAAAACTCCAAAAAGTCAAATCCGAGGTCTGTAAAAGTAAAAAAAAATTCATCTCATCGTTTTTCAAAAAAAAAAAAAAAAATTAAAATGGTAAGTGGATTTTAATCATGATATAATTGCTCCTAAAGAAAAATCATCGTAATCACAGCAATGTTAAACTTTCCGCTTCCACTCAATGTCAGACATAAAATCAACTAACTGAAAACTAAATTCATAAATTAATTAGCATTGTATTCTGTAATAGGTAAGATTATTAAGATCTTACAAACTCAATAATATGTATAATTCGTCTAGGAAAAAAGCATGAATTTTTGGTCTGAAAATGTTATGTTTTTTTCCCATCATAATATTTGTTTCATGAGAGCAATAAATATTAGCAGAAAAAAAAGTGTAGATAAGAAATGCAAAAAAATAACCCAAATTGTCTTTAATTACATTTAATTTGTGTAGTGGAAATTATGAAGTAAGATCAGTCTGCAAGATATCTTATTATAAATATCATTGGTAATTGGTTTCTTTTTCATAATTAATCCTTTGCGTATTTTTCAGTTCAATTTTAAGAAATTTATTTACATTTAAATTAAAAATTAATTAAATTAATGATTAATTAAATTACATTTAAATTTATTTACATTTATTAACTAATTATTTATCAGTTATTTATTAATTTTTATTATTATTATTTGTGACACCTTCCGAAGGAAAGCAAATTATTTTAAGGTTATTATGTTACTTTTAACCTTAATCAATAGTTTATTTCAGTTTAGTTCTGTAAAATTAAAATCAATTTTTATTAATTATTTTATATTAACATATATTAGTTATTTGAAAAATGAAGAATAAAATGTCAGTAATTTATATGATTTTCATTAGAAAAAATAAACATAACCTCAAAATTTTTACTTTTACCTTTTGGAGCACGTCACTTGTTAATTATTATTACATTTTTTAAAACAATATTAAAGAAAATTAATTTTTTCTTATTAGACGATTGAAAGTAATTATTTTCCATTCAGATTTGTTCTTTTCTTGAACTTTAATGTAAAATTAAGTAATTCACAATTTTTTTTATTAGTGCAGTCGGTATTAATTATTATATCGAATTAATTAGATAAAACGCATAAAAGATATGATTGTACTTACAGTTATCATTTTCGAGAGAATGCATATTTATTTATAACTACTTATATCGCTGTCAATGAACTTAATGATTAGAAAATTTATTTTGCATTCGTTACGAATTGTTATGAATCATTTTATATTAAATTTTTTTATTTATCACTTCATTCAGATTAAGAAAAATCATTGTTCACTAAAGTCGTTTTGATCCTAATGAGAAAAAGAAATAAGAGTTATCGATATAGTAAAATCCTTCTCTAAGGATGTAAAATTATAATATATAATCTGCGAAAATTTGCGGACGTAAAGTATTAAAATTGTTAATCAAAACAAATTTTTATGTTTAAAAAAAATATAATAAGTAAAGTCAAGAATTATGGGAATCCCATTGATATTATTCCCTTTAGTGAAATATCTACCTTACCGACCTTACTTGATGAGTAGATAGCAGGTTATGTTTCTTTCCGTTAGGTGGACGACTGTTTTCTTTCTTTGTTTTCTTTTTTGTTTGTTTTGTTCAAGTAATATTGTTACGAATTTACAATTAGTTTGAAATTTCGACTAGAAAAATGACTGAAGATTTTTTTAGGGTGTTTTTAAGTTTTTTGTGAGTTGTGACTCCTATAACCTTCAACATTTGCGATGGTAGACAAACGTCAGACGTCTGTTTTATTTGAAAGTTTTTCAATAGTTTTAAACACTTTAAAAGAATTGCATATTTCAGTTGATGTGATATGTTATTAATTTATAAATTTATCAATTTTCCTTTCTCTTTAAAAACAAAAAAAAAACCTATCAAGTTTAATTTATCATAAATCGGTATCGAAGATATGCGCAAAGTGGCTGCGCGAAAAGGGTGATTTTGTGTGTTTTGAAAGAAAGAGATCAGTTTATGCAAGATGGCCGACCGGGTGACTTCGGCCTTTTGTTACCTCTCCTTTCTTTTGTACCTATTTCTTTTAATACATTGTAATTGCGGTGAAAGATTTGGTGATAAATCAAAGACTTTACATATTACTGAGGATAAAGATGAAACACGTTACAAAAAATCGTTTATTATCGAGAGAAATAATGTTATTGATGACACAGACCGAACGTCATTTAGAACGCGTAGAGATGCATCTTCGGCAAACGAATCAAAAATCGAAACCAAGGTAAGTACCTTTTTATGTGTCTGATTTAGTGTTCATCAGGGTCATTAAATTGTGGTTTTGGGATAAAGTTGACTTATGGTGGGGAATGGTTATTTTCTTAATTGTGTTGAAGTATTTGAAAGGGAAATGTAATTAATAAACGAATTCAAATTTTTTTCGGCGATTGTTGTCAAAATGCATTTTTATTTATATTAACACACTTGGAAACATACGCTTGGTAGGTGCATTGCTTTGCAAACGAGAATGGGTTTGAGTAATTGTCGTATTGAGCTCCGTGCGCTTATAAATCAAGTCAATTTGTCAATTTGACGGAAGCTGCGTCGTATCATACTCGTTTGTTATTACCGTGTTGAGGTCACTAACCGCCTATAGTTCTCTTTTTTAAATAGAGAAACATAATCCATTATAACTGTTTCTATGCTAATGAACTTTACGGATATTCTGAAATTAATGAACTTGTTGAATTATTTTTATTAAAGTCAATTTTTACAGGTTATACAGTGTCCTTCGTTTTTCATTTGTCTTTTTGTTCCGCATATTATACCGAAATTTATTTTACGTAAATTGTTTGTTAATCGCTTTTTTTATCTTTGAAACAAAGAAAGCATAAAAATAATTCGATGATTCAACGCGACTAAAATGTTTTTTTTGTATTATAATCTATAGCAAGTAATTATTTTTCAAAGAATTATACAAATGTTTAGAAATTAATTTTTCAAGTTTTTTCTAGTTTAAATAATTCAAAATTCAGATATTAATTCCCGTTGCTATTAATTGTATATCACGAAGATTAGTTTACATTCTCGATTACCCTTTTGATAGGATAAATTGTTCTAGGAGAAAGATCAAGTGTCAGATTTAGCCTTTCGTCAGGATTGTTCCAGTTAGTAATGAATTTCTAATTTAGAAACGATATTAATTCGCTTCAATTGTTGTTTTCTTTTTTAAATTTATTCCAATAGAATTACTATTGTGATTTTCGTGCGGACAAAAAGGAAGTTAAATGGTATAATTGTGCACTTGAAAAGAGAACTCAAATTTAGATTCTTGTCGGAAGTGTATATAATTCAAAGGGGGGGAAGTTCCCTTTTGATGTTTCTGAAGAGGGTCCCTATTTTTACTGCGGCAGAATCCTTTAATGCCTAATCTCTTTATTCAGCGCATTGCATACGTAATTTAAAAAACCATAATTCTTGAACCATTTTTTGAAATATTTCGAAATTTTTTTCTTTGTTTTTAATTTGAATACTTTTTTAAATCCCAGCTTTTTTGTACAAAGATAAATTAAACATAAATTATTAAAATGATTGAGTGAATTTTTCAGAATTGATTATATCACACACCGGGATTTTTAATTTTAGAAAATAAATCTCTTGTTTATTATTATGAAAAAAAATGTGCGGAAAATTTTTCATGCGTTATTGATATCATTAGGGAATTTACATGCGAAATATAAATGTTACAAAAAAATGCAATTATTTTTAAATTAAATTGAGCTTGGAAGTTAATTAAACTTGTATCCTCTATAGTTTATCATTAACACATTTACATTTAAATGATACGAGATTATACAAAACATGTACAAAATAAACTGAGAGGTAAGGCAGATGTGATAAGCATTCTGATAAAATATAATCAGTGTAATTGAGAAAAACCTTGATGAAAAGTTTTTCTTTCGCATCTATCAGGGCTCGAACGAGGTCCGTAAATCCCGTAAAAGTCCGTTTTTTTGAAAAAAGGTCCTTAAAGTCCGTAATTTGATTGAAAAAGGTCCGTAAAGTACGTAAATTATACGATATAATTTGGATAATTTTAGACGAAGTTGAAGTCCACAACGTTGATCAACGAAAAAAATTTATTTAATGCAATCAAGTATTATTTTTAATTTAATATTTAATTGTAAAATAATTATTATCAAAACATAAATAATATCAATCCTTTTTTTCTAAATACTTTTTTGTCAATATTTCTGCGTAATTTTTAATTAATTTACTTAATGAACAATTTTTTTTCGTTGATCAACGTTGTGGACTTCAACTTGGCAATTTTAGAGAAATTACAAATGATTGAAGGAATTCAATTATTTTCAAAAGTAATAAAATTCTTCGCAAAAATTCAACTATGTTCAAAATTTTTTAAAAATTCTCGTCAAAATTTCAATTATCTTTAGAAGTAATTAAATTCTTCTCCAAAATATCAATTATTTTCAAAAATTTTAATAAAATTTTTGGAAAAATTTCAATTATTTTCAAAATTTTTCCTCAATTCAATGATTTTTAATAGGTATCTATAATACTATTCTAGTAAAATTTTCCAAAAGAATTCAATTATTTAAAAAAAATTAATAAAATTCTACACAAACTTTTAATTATTTTCAAAAAATAATAAAAATTTTACAGGAAATTCATTATTTACAATTTTTTTTTATAAATTTCTTCGCAATATTCAATTATTTTCATAAATAATACAATTTTTACAGGTATTTAATTTTTTTGGGAAATAATAAAATTTTTATTAGAAATTCAATTATTTTGATAAATAATAAAGCTAATTGCAGAATTTCAATTATTTTTAATACAATTTTAATCGAATTCCTCGAAAAATGTAATTATTCTTAAAAATTTTATTAAAATTTATCAAAGAAATTTAATTATTTTAATAACCTCTGCTACAATTTATTTATTAGAATTTAAATATTATTTTTAATAAATTTTTAATTAAATTTCTTTAAAGAATAAAATTATTGCATTCAAAATTTTTAATGCAATTCTTTGCGTAAATTATCAATTATCTTTATAAATAATAAAATTCTTCTCTAAAATTGAATTATTTTCAAAAAATTTAATAAATTTCTTGGCAAAATTTTAATTATTTTCAAAAATTTTCCCTAATTTAATTATTTTTAATATCTATTTTAATAAAATTTTGCAAAAGAATTCAAATTATTTTAAAATTGATTGATACAATTCTTTAAAAGAATTCAATGCAATGTAATAATTCATATGTAATTATTCAATAAATTGTTTTTTTTTTGTTTTTAAATAATGAAATTCTCGTAGAATTTTCTCATAAAAATTGATTTAAAAATGGATTTCACTTAAAATTTTAGATTATAATTGAATATTAAAAGTATCAGAGCGTAAAGTTTTAGAAATAATTAAATTTTGAAAAGGTTTCAGATTCAAATCTTCGAAAATTTGAATTTTTTATATTTTTAACTAAGTAACAATTCTGTGCAATTATTTTTTTTTGAGAAATTTTAATTGCGAATTTTTTTTTATATTATTTGAAGTTTTTATTTTCTAATACATATGTAATTGAAGAATTTACAAATAATTGAAATTTCGCAAAATTGAATATTGTAAAGAAATGGATTTGAAAATTGTCAAAGAACTTTTTCGAAAATTATTAAAAATAATCGATTTTAAGAAGAATTTTAGTTAAAAATTCTTGCAAATAATAATTGAATTGATAATGATTTTATCACTCTATCTTTAATTATTATAAAACATGAAGTAATCGATCGCTTATCGATATCTTCATGTTTTTTAGTTATGAAAAAATCTAATTTATAGTTTTAAGTACATAAAATGTTCTCTTATATATTTTTGTCAGTATAATTGGTCCGTAATTTTTCATTTTTGGTCCGTAAAGTCCGTATTTTTAAATACTTTCACTGGTTCGAGCCCTGAATCTATTTTTTTTTTTTTTTTTTTTGACACAAAGAATTTATATGAGAAACAATTTTGTAATGTTTTTTTGTATACACAATTTTTTTCCAAATTTTTAAATTCGCAAAGAGAGATTAACATTATCATGAAAGGTGTAAATTTTTCTTTTGTTCCTGAAAATTGTTTATCATTTTTTTTTTATTTGATTAATTGTTCAATTTTATCGCGCACTGATGCGAATTTTCTCTGTGAAAAATAGATTTTTTTAAGATAATCTGACATTGAAGATATTTTTTTTCTCTTTATGTAACGAAAAGTTCTTGGGACTAAATTAAATTTATTTTCTCTAATTACATTTAAAATGATTCAATGTTGAACGGTTGCAGTGTTCACGAGTTGATGATATACGTTTTGTGATAAATTTCTTAGAATTTATATATTCAGAAAAGATGCGAACAATAATTGCTAACGTTTTTATTTTTTATTGTGTATTATTAAAAATTAGTCATGCAACACATTTTCATTTGATATATATTTTTTTTTGCACGTATATTAACTAAAGCAGACAAATAGCAACTACACATTTAAGTCATCACAAAGTCTCTCTATGATTCATTTTCACTCACTTTGAAAGCTTCTGTGATATTTATGAACGGGAATGAATACATATATATATATATATAGAGAGAGAGATAAGCCTTTCGGCACGATAAGCACTTCTGTCTTAAATGTAAAAAACTTTGCTTACAAATTTTATTTATTTTTATTATTTTGTTTTCAATGTAACAAAAGGAAAAGAAAAAAAAATTCTTTTTGTTTTATTTTCTAGGGTCAAGAACAGACATTGAAAACTGGACCGGAGATACCGGGATCGGTGAGATTTTTTTTTCGATACACTGAAAGAAATTCTTATTGAAATTTTATGTCAATCACTGTGAAATTGATATTAATAATAATGAGCAAGAAATTTAAATGATTTATTAGAAAATAAATTTGTTGGGAATTCAGTAAACAAGTTCTATTAATTAAATATATTTTCGGGAATATATTTTCGAATAAAAATAAAATTCCAGAAATTTCGATTTTTACACATTTTTTGTAATGAGATTTACACGGTCTGACTATTTAAATTTTCTTAATTATTATAATTTCCATACGTCGTTCAATAGGAATTTCCTGCAGTGTAGACGAAGTTGAAGTCCAAAACGTAGATCAAGGAAAAAAAAGAAAACAAAAAAACACAAACGCTAAAAATAAAAAATTTTATTTTTTTTATTTTTTATTAATTTTTATAATATTTATATTAATTTTCTAACATATTCTTAATTTATTTAATGAAAATTTAAAAAGAAAGATAGACTCACTTAAAATACTTAGTACGGCACTGTTTGTTTTGCTTTTCACGCTTCCAGTGTTTTTTATTAATCAGCTAGAAATAATATGGTTTTTTATTATTATTCATTATTGTTTATAGCTTTTTTATTTACTTTTTTCATTCTTTTTACTTTTTTGTTTATTGTCTTTCTATTTTTTTTTACCTATTTAATTTTTTTCTTACTTTTTCCTTTACTGTTTTCATTTTTTTACTTATTTAATATTTTTTTTACTTTTCTATTTATCTACTATTTTTTTCCTTTTTTATTTACTACTTTTCATACTCTTTTATTGACTACTTTTTATACTTTTTTATTTTTTTTTTTATTTATTTATTTGTGTATTTATAGACGAGACAATTTAATTACGAAGTTGAAGTCCACAACGTTGATCAACGAAAAAAATTTATTTAATGCAATCAAGTATTATTTTTAATTTAATATTTAATTGTAAAATAATTATTATCAAAACATAAACATCAATCTTTTTTTTCTAAATATTTTTGTGTCAATATTGCTGCGTAATTTTTAATTAATTTACTTAGTGAACAATTTTTTTTTCGTTGATCAACGTTGTGGACTTTAACTTGGTATTTAATTCGTACAATTAGTAAAAATAGTTATTTATTTTTTATACAGTTTTTCGAATTTTCATGCATGCTTTGGATTTGAGGGTTAATTTTACGTTTATTTTTAATTTATGAACTGGATTTGACTTGAATTTGAATGAATTTAAATGAGCATTAATTTTTCTAGGTGAATGCGCTCAATGACTCTCATCAACAGCTGATGGTTCATTGGGTCGGCGAAGGGTCCAGTATTATAATATGTCTTGCCCGAGATAGTTTGTCACAATTGAATAAGAACAATAAAAATGTAATAGCAAGTCATCCGAGTGCTGTTTACATAAGTTACGATTATGGCGATTCGTTTGATAATAAAACGGAGAAATTTAAAATATCGGAAGAGAAAAATTCTTCTTACGCCAGTGTCGACAAGTTTTATAATCATCCGACATTTAACGAATTTGTACGTATTTTTATTTTAATTTATAATTTCTATTATAAATTTTCTTTTAAATTCAAATTAAACATTACTGAACTGAAATTATTCTAAAGTTTCCAACTTACAAATTTTTTTGTGCATTAAACACAACTCAGGAAATTAGAAATTTTAGGAAAATGTCACGTTTGTGAAGTTCACAACGTTTTAATCAACGATTTATTTACAATAGTAAAATAGTAGAAAACATATTTTTCTATTTGAATTTATGTAAATTTTAGTAGAAAAAATATTTTGTATAGTTTTTGATCAATTATTTGCAAATAAATATTTGAGAACAAAAAATTTTAGTGGAAAAACTGTTTTTCTACGTCAATTTTAGTAGAAAGAATATTTTTCCGATTTATATTCATTTTAGTAGAAAAATAGTTTTCTGATACATAATTAATTTCCAATGAAATGTTTTTAAACAAAAAATTTTTATTGTTTTTGTCAGAAAACATTTTTTTTCAATCGTTATACGTCGTTTCACGACGTATAAACGTCGTGAATGTTTCAATTGAAAAAACATTTTTCTACTTAAATTTATATTAATTTTAGTATAAAAAGTATTTCGCATAGTTTTTTGTAAATTATTTGACGAACAATTTTATTTAAAAAATTCAAAAAATAATTGAATTTTGGAAGGTGTTTATTATTTACAAATATCAAATTTTACTAGAATTACTATAGAAATTTTGATTTTTGATGTACAAAACTATTTTTGAATCATTTATATAAACCTTGAATTTTTTTAGCTTTAAAACTTTTTAATTAAATATTTATTTAAAAAATTATTACAGTTTTAAGTAATTTTATTTAGAATTTAAAATAAATTAAGTATGAATTTCTGAGAAATTTTAATTCAATTTGTTTAAGATTCTTGAATTTTTAAAAAAGTTTTATTGTAAAATTACCAAATTAATGAAAATTTTGTGAAATTAACTTCAGAATATGTAATTAAATTTGTTAGAGAAAATTACTAATTTTTTTAAAAAAATGGAATTTTCAAGTAATTGAAGTTTCGAGAAGTTTTGCTTCAAATTCTGAAAAATTAGTTTTTGAAAATATTTCAATTATATTTTTTAAAAATAATTGAATATTTATAAACAAGTAAACGAAATTTTCTAAAATTCTATTAAATATAGTTGAAATTTTCTAAAATTCTATTAAAAATAATTGTAGTTTTCAAAGAATTTTATTGAAATCTTTGAAAATAATCGATAATCAGAGAAAAAGAGTCAAAATTTTTCAGTTTCTACTTTTAAAGATAAATGGATTTTTAAATATTTTTTAAAATAATTTTTTAAAATTTTAGTTAATAAAATTTTTGAAATTGAATTTTTTTAAGAATTTTATTGAAATTTTTTAAAGTAATTGAATTTTTTAAGAACTTTATTGAAATTTTTAAAAATGATCTGGAATGAAAGAAAATATGAAAATTCTGTCTGGAAATCAGGGAAAAATAAAATAAAATTGTGGCAACCTTTTGTATAAATTATTTAGTTAAAAATTAATTTTTCAATTAGAAAAACTTTAATATTTTTGTAATGAAATTCAAATTGAAAGGAGTAATAAAAATATCGTTGGACGTTGGAAACTTTAGAGACATGGATTGAATTAATTTTTTTTTAAATCTATCTTATTTTATTACAGTGCGTTTTTGCCGATAGTACGAATAAATTAATTTTTATAACACGAAATTCTGGTCACAATATTACGAGAATTGAAGTTCCATTTACGCCGAGTGAAATTTCTTTTGACGATGAACATTATTATTTTATGGTGTTGGATAAAGTTGACCGTAAACGAAGGGTGAGTATAATTAATAATTTATTTCAAAATAAAAATGAATTTCTTTTTAAGCTCTAAAATAAATGTCTTTTTATTTTAAACAATTTTCTTTTTTCATCAATTAATAGAAGTTAATTTCTTTTTTTTTTATTTCATTGCTGTTTATTTCACTGATACCAATTTTCTTCTTTCATCAATTAATAGAAGTTAATTTTAATAGAATTTAATAGAAGTTAATTTTTAAAAAAAATTGAAATTAACTTTAATTAATTGATGAAAAAAGAAAATTGTTAAAAATAAAAAGAAATTTTTTCTTTACTTTTATTGAAATTTTCTGAAATTTTTTTACAGCTTTGGTTAACAAAAGATTTTGGCAACACTTGGACTGTTGTTCATGAATTTGTGAAAGCATTTTACTGGACAACTGAGCGGCCCAAATCATTGATAATTGAACGCGCTGAAGCATTGGGTCGAAATACGGTTGTTAATTTAGGCACAGTGCAACTTTGGTCTAGCCGAAATTACTCACGAGTGATTACTGGAGTTGAAGATTTTCAAATTCGAGGAGATTACATGTTTGCGACGAAAAAATCACGAACGGTAAAAATATTCATTTCTTTACTTTTTGTGTTGATAAAATTTATTTAAAAATTGATTAAATTAATTAATCAATTAAATTTTGTATTGACTTATAAATTTCTTTTTTTTATGTTTTTAGGGAAATTTGGATCTGTACGTCTCATTTAAAAATCAGAATTTTGTGAAAGCCCAGTTTGACAGAGGATTGCCAGCTCTTGATTTTCACATTGCCGATGTTTCACACAATCGTATTTTCGTTGCGGTTTCACATAGCGACACGCTGGTTAATCTTTACATTTCCGAAGTAGTTGATAATCGTCAAGCTTCGTTTGTTTTATCACTCGAGGGGATTTTCACATTTTTCCCAAACAGCACTTGGACGGAAAGTTGGTTAAAGTATGTATTTTTTACAGTTCTAAAAGTTTCGAACGTTTAAATGAACGAAATTTATTTCTTCTTCAAATTAAAATTTTATTGCAATAATTTTGCGTCATTGAGTTCAAATGATTCTAAAGTTCTGAACGTTTAAATGAATGGAATGTGTTTATTTTTTCTTCAAATTAAATTTCTATTACAATAATATTGCGTCACTATCAATTAATTATAATTTTTTTAATTGTAAAATTGAAGTCTTTAATTTTTATTGCAATCAGTCATTTTTAATAAATATTTCGTTCATTTGTTGATCATGAGTTCAAAACAGGGTTGCCACAGGTCAGGGAATTCAGTGAAAAGTCAGGGATTTTTATTAAAAGTACTTGAAAAAATTAAATATTTAGGGTATTCATAAGAAAATTGTGAATTTTTGTGTTTTTTTTGTTTGTCTCATAAATTATGAAATTACCACGAAGCTTTCAATTTTTTCTATTTCTGACAATAATTTCTAATTAAGTAACTTCATTCATAAACAGATAAACATCAAAAGGTATTAATTTGAAATTTTGTAAGACTTCAATTTTGAATGAATTTAATTAGAATTTTTTTAAAACTTAAATTTTTTAAAAATTGTAATATTTTAAATTCTGCTCAAATTAGTTAAATTTTTAAATGTAAATGTCTAATTAATTATTAAAAATAATGGATTTATAGAAGAATTTTAGTTAAAAACACTAAAAAAATTTGCATTTTCGACAAAATTTAAATTATCTTAATATGTAAATAATAAAATTCTTCTTCAAAATCCAATTATTTTCAAAAAATTTAATAAATTTCTTGTAAAAATTCAATGATTTTCAAAAAATTTTCTCAATTAAATGATTTTTAATATCTTTGATTTGCATTTTCGTCAAAATTTCAATTATCTTAATATGTAAATAATATTCTTCTTTAAAATTCAATTATTTTAAAAAAATTTAATAAGTTTCTTGTCAAAAATTCATTGCTTTTCAAAAATTTTCCTCAATTCAATGATTTTCAATATTAACGACAATTTACGATTTTAATGAAAATTTACAAAAAAATTCAATTATTTAAAACAAATTTTGTAAAAATTCTACGAAAACATTTAATTATTTTTATAAATAATAAAAATATCATAGGAATTCAATTATTTACAAATTTTTTTATAAATTTCTTCGCAATAATTCCATTATTTTCATAATCTATTTAATTTTTTTTACAGAGATTCCATTATTTTCGTAAATAATAAAATTCTTTGTAAGAATTCAATTATTTTCATAAATAATAAAACTCATTACAGAATTTCAATTATTTTTAATTCAATTTTAATCAAATTTCTCGAAAAAATGTAATTATTCTTAAAAATTTTAATAAAATTCGTCGAAAGAATTTAATGATTTAAAAATTTATTGGTAAAATTATTTATGAGAAGTCAATTTTGAGAAAAATTCAATTATTCAATAAATTATTTATTTTTGTAGTTAACTGATTATAAAAGAAAGAAAGAAAGAAAGAAATAAGTGAATTCTCGTAGAATTTTCTAATAGGATTTCAGTTAAAATTTTAGATAATAATTGATAATTAAAAGCATTACAGCATAAATTTTTAGAAATAATTTAATTTTGAAAAGGTTTCAAATTAAAATCTTTGAAAATTTGAATTTTTGATACTTTTAACTAATAATTCTGCAAAATTAATGTTTTTGAAAAGGTTTTAAATTAAAATCTTTAAAAATCTGAATTTTTCATACTTTTAACTAACAATTCTGCAAAATTAATGTTTTTGAAAAAGTTTAGCTGAATTTTTTTAAAACCTATTTCATGTTTTTATTTTCTAATATATAATTAACTAAAGAATTTCCGAATGAACGAAATTTCGTGTAAAATTGAATTGTAAACAAATGAATTGGAAAATTATTAAAAAAAACTTTTTCTAAAATTATTAAAAATAATTGATTAAAATTTAAAGGAAAATTTTAGTGAAAAATTCTAAAAGATAATAATTGAATTGAATTGATGAAAATAATTTGATAAAGTTACAGTTAAAATATTCTTATAATATAAAATAATGATTTTATCGTTCGGTCATTGTTTAATTTATTATAAAATATGAAGAAATCGATTACTCCGAGTCTTCGACTCGGAGTGCTCGATATCTTCATGTTTTATAATAATAATATATTCTTATTTTTAATTATTAAATTAAATTATTATTTTTAATTTCAATAAAGGTTTGAATTTGAATCTTTTGAAGAATTTTAATTCCTATGGAAAATAATAATGATTAAATATTTATTTGAAAAAGAAGTTGTTGTTTTCGAATAATTTTACAATTAGAGAAATTTGTATATAAATTCATATTAAAATATTTTTTTTTAGTATTTAATTATTTTTAGAATGAATCAGAATATTTTTTAGGGTCAGGGAAAAAGACAAAATTTTGTCTGAAATACAGGGAAAAGTCAGGGAAAAACAAAATTAAATTTTTATATCAAACCTGCAAAAAAAGGCTATAAAGATTCTGAATGTTTAATTTTGTTTTTTATTTCCAGTAGCAAAAAAAATTCGTTCATTTGAACGAATTTCAGAATTTTTAGATAATTTTTTTTTGCACAAAAATTAATTTAATGCAGAGTAAATATACTCGTTTTTTAACGATTACCTTTTCTGTATTGCAATTTCAGTGAAGTTGCCGACGAAACTTTCACGGATCTTTATAAAGTTGAAGGTCTTCGTGGAATTTACATTGCCACTCAAGTAAAAGGTGCTCCAAAGTCAGTGAGTATTGGACCAGAACATTTAATATCGTTGATAACGTTCGATCATGGAGCAACTTGGGGTCTTATCAATCCACCGCAATACAATTACAAGGGTTATTATTTGCATTGTCCGAAAAATTGCTCCTTACATCTTGGACAGAAATTTTTCCAATTATATCCAGTGACAAGGGCGGCATCAATAATGAGTTCAAAGTCGGCGCCTGGTATAATAATGGCAACTGGAACTGTTGGAACGAGCATTAAAGGTCATCCAGCTCTTTACATGTCGAGAGATGCGGGTCTCACTTGGAAACAAGTGTTGGAGGACTATTATTTTTTCAATATGGGCGATCATGGCGGTGTTTTGGTGGCCGTTAAATATTTCAAATCTCGCGGTGAGACTCGAGAAATTTTGTACTCGACAAATGAGGGAGAAAGTTGGCAATCGCACGAATTCACTTATAATGTGCTGAGAATTTATGGATTGATGACGGAACCTGGTGAGAATACTACGACTTTTACGATGTTTGGATCGGGTGTTGGACAGCATCAGTGGTTGATTATTAAGATTGATTTGAGAACGGCATTCACGAAAGTCTGTGAGAAGGATGATTTTAAATTTTGGAGTCCAAGCACACCGAGGGAATCGCTGTCGACTTGTGTTTTGGGAAGGAAGGAAATTTATCAGAGGAGAGCTGCAAATATTCAGTGCTACATTGGTGTTAATTACAATAGGCCCGTTAAAATTGATACATGTCCCTGTGATGCGAACGATTATCAATGTGATTTTGGATTCGTGCGAGAGACAAATCAATCTTCACTCTCTTTTCGATGCATTCGAAACAAAACATCGGAATATAATCCTTATAGAATTCCTGAGCTTTGCCCACCTGGAGAATTTTATAATCGAACAAAAGGTTATATTAAAATTCCAAATGATGATTGCGTAGGTGGACGTTCCACTTTTTATGAACCAGATCAGGTAGGAATTTGATATTATTTATTTATGAGAATTTAAATATTTTCTATACAATTTTCATTAAAATCCTCGAAAAAATTCAATTATTTTTGAATATTTAAATACAATTGTTGGCTGGAATTTATTATTTTTATTTTATTTAATTTAATTAAATTCTTCGTCAAAATTCAATTATTTTCATAAAAAAAAAATTCTACTAAAGAATTCAGTGATTTTAAAAAATTAAATAACATTTTACGCAAAAATTCAATTATTTTAAAAATTTTGATTAAATTCTTTACGAGAATTTAATTATTTTCAATACAATTTTAATTAAATTTCTCAAAAAAATTAAACTATTTTTGAATATTTAAATACAATTTTTAGCTCGAATTTAATTATTTTAAAGAATTTTAATGAAATTCTTCGTCAAAATTCAATTATTTTTATAAAAAAAAATTTAATTTTTGTGTCAAAATAATAAAATTCTTCGTAATATAATTAATTACTTTTCAAAATTATAATAAAGCTTATCCAGAGAATCCAATTTTTTTTTAGAATAATATATTTCTTCACTGGAATTCAATTACATTTAAAAATAACAGAATTTCTCGTAAGAATTCAATTATTTTCTATAGAACTTTGATAAAAGTCTTTACAAGAGTTTAATTATTTTTCAAAATTTTTTATAAAATTCTTAACAAGAATTCAATTCGTAAGAAATTTAACTACATATTTTTAAAAATTTCGATAAATTTCTAAACAAGAATTCATTTATTTCAGTTTCAAAATTTTAATAGAAATTAATAAATAAATTATATAAAAAACATATTTTTAATTGAAAACAGTTTGGTTTAATTATTTAATATTTTTTAATCTTCGAAACATTAAATTAGAATTTGATTAGTTTTAAAATTCAAAATTAAAGTCTTGAACAATTTTATTTCGAAATTCTAAACAATAATTGAATTTTTGAAAAATTAAAGTTGTAAGTTTTAGAAATAATTAAATTTCAAAAGGTTTTACATTGAAATTATTCAAAAATTTAATTCCTGGGGAAAAATGAATAACAATGAGTACTAAAATATTTATTTAACAAAAATTATTGAAGTTTTGAATAATTAAATTTGGAAATTCTGAAAAAATTAAGTTTTTCAAAAATGATGAGTAAAATTGATTTAAAAATAGTTGAATTCTTGGGAATAATTTTTAAAAAATGAAATAATTGGAAAGTTTGTGAAATTTTATTGAACTGAATATTAGGTTTAAAAGAATTTTATTTTTTAACATTTAAAAATTATTCTGAAATATAATTTCGTATTTTCGAAGAATTGTAAGTGAAAATTTGGGAAATAATTGAATTTTATAAAAAATTAGAATTGAAATCATTATCAGAATAAGGAAAAAATATATTATTCTTTCTGGAATTTAGGGAAATACATAATAAATTTTTTTTTATTACTTTGATTAAAGTAAGTTACATTTTTGCACATTGAATCGACAAAAACAAGAGTTTTTAATCGTCAAGTTTAAGTTTTCGAAAGCTACTTTTTTTTACTTCTTTTCAGTTTTAAAGCTATTTTTTTTAATTAATTAACGATCGCAAAGTTTAATTATTTGATTCGCAATATTAATAAAATTGTTCATTTCAGATACCATGTCCAATGGCAGAATTAGGAGAATTTTTATTGGTTGCACAACGAGAGCATATTTCTAGAATTGATTTGGAAACGAAAAAATTGGAAAAATTACCCGTTCACGGTTTAAAGAATGTTATTGCAATTGAATTTGATATGAGAAATAATTGCCTGTATTGGGCAGATATTGTAAATGACACGATTGGAAGGCAATGTCTTTCGAACGGCTCAAGTTACCCTGAAATTCTAGTTGAGACTGATCTTAGTTCTATTGAGGGAATGGCTCTGGATTGGGTTTCAAATGTACTTTATTTTGTTGACGGTGTAAAAATGAGAATTCAAATAATCAGAACTGACATCAATTCAATGGGACGAATGAGAAGAACAATATTGGGACCAAATAATTTACAAAAACCAAGAGGAATCGCTGTACATCCATCGAGGGGATATATTTTCTGGACCGATTGGGCGCCTGGTAATGCATCAGTCAATCGGGCCAATATGGATGGTACCAATTTCAAGCAATTATTCCACGAGTCCGTTGAATGGCCAAATGGTGAGTGTTATTTATTCGATTTTTTGAAAATAATTTTTCAATAATTTTTCAATAATTTTTTCAATAATTAATTTATTCTGCAATTTAAATTTATTTTAAGTAAAATTAGTATATTTTTTGCATCGCAGGTTGTTATCAATTTGACTTTTTTTCACATGTTTAAAATTTTATCACTTAGATATTTCACCTGTTACTTTGATAATTTATTTCCTTTTCGAAAGTTTTTAAAATTGTATTTAAATTTAACTTAAAATTAAAAAATAAACAGTTTTAAAAATATAGTTAAAAAAATTTTAAAAATAATTTTAAAAATTAAAAAATAATTAAAAAATTAAAAGTAAAAGAAATAAAAATTTAAAAAAATGATTAGATTTTTTTCTGAATTCTGAATTTAAAATTATCTTAATTTTATTCGATTTTAATTTTAAAGAAACGCAAATACAATCAATAAATTCAAATCAATTAAAATGTAATTGCAATTTTTGAAGTTTTAATCTATGTGAAGATTAATGTATTCAAATCTTTAACAAGGTTGCCACATGTCAAGGAAAAATCAGGAAATTTTATCAAAAGTACTGGGAAAATATTAAATTTTTAGAATTCATAAGAAAATGCTGGTTTTTTGAGTCAAGTGACCTTTGAGAATATTAAAATAATTTAATTCTTCTTGAATTTTTTGTCTGTTCACCCTAAGAATGTTTAAATCTAAAAATAATTGTTTTTTGGATGAGTTACAGTTGAAAACTATATTAATAATCGTTGTATTCCAGATGTCTGTTCACAGTTAGAAGTTAGTTATTTTTGTTTTCTTCTTTGTTTCTTAATTTGTTTCATAATTTTTCTCTTTGAATGTTTTAAATTTTAAAATTAATAAAATTCTAATTTAATATTCTGTCGATTACTTAAATAATAACAAAGATTAATCAATTAAAATTGTTTGGAATTAAAAATTATCATTTTATTTGTAAATTCAATTTTTTTCTCATAATTTTGTGTTCAAAAGTGAATTATTCTTTAATTTAAAAAAATATTATTATAATTTTTGTAAAGTTTATAATAATTTATAAGTTTATAATTTTTGTAAAAAAAGAAGTTATTATTATTCAAAATAATTGAATTCTTGCGAAGAATTTTATTAAAATGTTTATAAATAATTGGATTCTTTCGAAAAACTTTATTATTTTTAATAATAATTGAAAAGATTCAAATTTTTTTAAAATTGAAGAAAATAATTGAATTGCTTCAAGAAATTTAATTAAAATTCTATTAAAAATAATTGAATTCTGTCGAAAAAATTTATTAAAATTATGTTAAAGATTATTGAATATAACGAATTTTACCAATTTTGTGTTCTTACTTAAAAAAAATTCAATAGTTTTGAAAAATTTTATTAAAATTAAGAAAAATATTTGTATTATTTTGCAAAATGTAATTAAAAATTATATTAAAAGTAATTGAATTCTCATAAAGAATTATATCAAATTTTTTTAAACGAATTTAATACTTTCGAAGAATTTTATTAAAATTAAGAAAAATAATTGAATTATTTCGAAAAATATAATTAAAATTATATATAAAAAATAATTGTATTAAAAACAATTGAATTCTTGCAAAGAATTTTATAAAATTTTTTAGAAACAATAAATTAAATTAAATTCTTTCAAAAAACTTTATTATTTTTAAAGATAATTGAAAAGGTTCAAAGAAATTTTTTAAAATTTATGAAAATAATTTAATTCTTTTGAAGAATTTTATTCAAATTTTTAAAAAATAATTGCATTGCTTCAGAGAAATTTAATTAAAATTCTATTAAAAATAATTGAATTCTTACCAGAAATTTTGTTATTTAATAATAATTGTATCACTTTGAAGAATTTTATTGAAATTAGAAAAAATAATTGAATTATTTCGAAAAATATAATTAAAATTATATTCAAAACATAATAATTCTTATAAAATATCGAAAAAATTTAAACAAATTGAATTCTTTTGAGAAAATTAATTAAAACTTTATTAAAAATAATTTAATTTAGGTATTCGAAAAATTAAATTAAAAATAATTGACTTATTTCGAAGAATTTTATTATTTTTTAAAAGTAATTAAATTCTTTCGAGAAATTTGATTATTTATAAAAATAATAGAATATTGTTGCCAAGAATTTGATTAAAATTTTTGAAATTGAATTCATTTCATCAATTTAATTAAAATTATATTAAAAATAATAGAATTTCTGTGAAAAATTTATATTATAATTTTTAAAAATAATTGAAGTCTTTCGAGAAATTCGATTCAAATTGTATTGAAAAAGGTAGCGTGAATAACATTTTCCAGTTTATTTAAATCATCAAATTTCAGAATTTATTTAATTAAAATTTTTTGAAAATTTGAGCTCCGTAAAAAAATAATTATTTACTGAATATTCATTTTTTAAAATAAATTTTAATGTTTGGAATAATTTTTCAAATAAAGATGATTTCAAATAAATGTTTAATAAATATTTTTTTGTGAATCTCAATTTTTTAGAGAGGATCAGAATATTCTTTAGGGGGAGGGTAAAATGTTCAAAATTCTATCTGGAAATCAGAAAAAGTCAGGGAAAAAGAAAATTATATTTTTATGGCAACCTTGTTTAATTATTCGAACTTTAATTTATCTTCGTAACCAATTTGATTTTCTATTGTCAAAAAATCAAGTTTTTTCTTAAAATTTTATCACTTCAAATTTTAATCGTTTTGGATTCAATTTCAAGTGCAGGCTAACAATCTTAGATTATTTTCCACATTCCACGGTACACATTGATTATTAACTTTTTATTATTATTAGCGATTATTAGCGTCAGATTTAGAAATCTTTTAATTAATTACAAAGAAAGTGTTACAATCCGAAAGAATAATATTTGAAATTCAAATAATATTTGAAAGTCGAAATCTTTCATAATATTTGAAATTTCGTATAGACAATTCTTTTATTTCATAAAGACAAATTTTTTATTCATGGAATAAATGTATTTTTTTTTATTAATATTTGAAATTGTTTGAAATTTTAGGAATCACTATTGATCACATGGCAGAGCGTATTTACTGGGTGGACGCAAGGGAAGATTACATTGGTTCAGCTGACTTTGACGGGAAGAATTTCAAGAAAATAATCTCTCAAGATGAACGTGTCTCACATCCATTTGCCGTTGCCGTATTGAAGGACAATATGTACTGGGACGATTGGAAGCAATCGATGATTTTCACCGCCGACAAGGATCATGGTAGAAAAATAACAACAATTATTGGCCAACTCACTGGTCTAATGGATCTAAAAGTTTTCGCTCACAGTGTACAAACAGGAACAAATCCCTGTGTGAACAGTACATGCTCTCATATTTGCTTAGGCGCACCAGATGGTTTTGTTTGCCTCTGTCCCGACGGTATGGTAATGACAAACGGCAAATGCATGTGTCCCGGTGGGATTGCACCATTTAGCAATTCAACATGTCCAAAAATAGCAAACACCTGCTCGAGCAATCAATTCGAGTGCGACAATGGTGTTTGTATACCGGAATTTTGGAAATGCGACGGCGACAATGATTGTGGGGATAATTCGGATGAGAGTCTGTGCAGTAGAACGACGTGCAGTCCGAATACGTTTGAGTGCGATGATAATAAATGTATTCCGATCTATTGGGTTTGTGATTTGGACAGAGATTGTAGGGATGGGAAGGATGAGATGAATTGCACTTATTCGAATTGTACCGATTCGCAATTTAAGTGCGATAATGGGCGGTGTATTTCGCATCGATGGTTGTGTGACGGGGAGGATGATTGCAGAGATGGATCGGATGAGAGGAATTGCACGATTCCGGTGCAGCCGAGTACTTGTAAGTCGGATGAGATTCAGTGCACGAAGGAGCATATGTGTATACCGAGAACTTGGAAGTGCGATGGGGAGAAGGATTGTGAGGACGGATCGGACGAGGCTGATTGTCAGAGTATGAAGTGCGAGTCGTGGCAGTTTGATTGTCAGGATCAGAATCAACAGCATCGGTGTATTTATCGATCGTGGGTTTGCGATGGAGATAAAGATTGCAATAACGGACTGGACGAGCAGAATTGTACACAGACCTCGGCACCGCCTTTATTCCCGCCTAGTTTGCCGACGAATTCCTGCAATGATTGGATGTTTAGGTGTCATAACAAGAAGTGTGTTCCTTACTGGTGGAAGTGTGACAGTGTCGATGATTGTGGAGATAATTCGGACGAGCTCGGATGTGGGAATCCGGATGTGACGACGGATCGTCCTAGTTTTACGGAACATCCTCGTGTGTGTCAACCGCATCAATTCCAGTGCTACGATGGCGATTGTATTGAGCAGGCTTGGGTTTGCGACGGTTCGCCCGATTGTAAGCTGAATGAGGACGAGTTGCATTGCGAGGGAACGCATATCGGTTGTCGTGACGATCAATTCATGTGTCGAACTGATGGAAATTGTATTTCGGCGGACAATGTCTGTAATGGACACGAAGAATGTCCGGATGGAAGTGACGAGTACGGTTGTCATGGCGATGAGAATCCAAACCTACCGACAATGTCGCCTTGCGTACAAGGGAGATTCCTCTGCGATGGAGGACTCTGTCTTCCACTCGCTCATAAATGTGACGGAAAACCCGATTGCTTCGATGGATCCGATGAAATGAATTGCGAACAAAATACAAGAGTCTATCAAGTTATTATCATGAAGGTCGATGAGCGAACCACCGAGGCGAATAGTATCCACTTGCACTGGTGGATGTCGACCCCAAATAATACGATTCTCGAATTTTTGCCATCGATCGCACCAGCCAATGAAATAAACCCCAAGTGGACGAATGCTACAAGTTGGTTACAGGGTTTGAATTACCAATTTACTGATTTAACCCCATACACCCGATACAACATGACAGTTTTTGTCAGAATAAAGGGTTCGAAAACAGTTTTTCCACCCGGTAACTACCACATCGGAGTGACAAAAGAAGGAGTGCCAACCGAACCTTACGAAGTTACTGTCGATCAGAAAAATGGCTCTCGAGTTGAAATTTCATGGCGGGCACCAGCTCATCCCAATGGCGTTATAATTGGATACGATGGATTCATAACTCCACCGATTCCACCCATGAAATATTCCCTACAAAAAACATCAGTTTCAATCGATTTGGCATTTGAACCGGGAAAGAATTATTCCTTCTGGGTAATTGCGAAGAATAAAAGATATCAAAGTAATACATCAAAGGTGGTGACCTTGACATTTGATGGCGCTTCAAATATCGATGACATCAAGAATTTGGAAGTGATTGGGGAAAAAACGACAAACAATTCGGTTACATTGAAATGGCAGAAGGTTCCCGATGTTGATGGTTATACTATCATGCCAAAATCACCGTCGCACTATCCAAATTTAAATTTCAGCGTTATTGAGAAAAATGTTGATACCTATACTGTGAATGGATTGGCTCCAGGTGTCTCGTATACGTTTGAAGTCACTGCGAAGAGGAAAAATTATTTTGGAAAACCTGCTTCAATTGCCGGTACTACTAGTGGCATGGCTTTGCCTACAGTTTTGAAGGTACAAGGAGAATTAATCAAGGCGCAAGGAACTACGGTGAAATTGAGTTGGGATCCTCCTAAAGATTCGCGGAAAACCAAATGGCAGTATGCTGTACATTACGCTGTCAATATGCAAGATCTTTATAAAGGTAATTTTTACTTACCTTTGAATTTCATATTAAAAAATTTACAAAGTTGATGAAGTTTACGTTTGTAATCGACAATTTAGAAGAAAAAATAATTTACTATCCAAATTCTTGCCTTAAAAAAAATTTTTTTACAATGTTTCTTGATCAACAAGTTAAAAAATATTTGTTGAAAAATTGAATTCACAAAGAACTTTTTCAAAGAACTTTCTCAAAAATTATTAAAAATAATTTCGTTTATTAGTTTTTTTTATATTTTTTATTTGTATTATTGGATTTACTTAATTTCTGATTGTACATTTTTTTCTATTGCAGAAGCTAAGGTTATAACGAGCCATGTGGGAACAACAATTCGTGATCTGGAGGCATGCAGCAAGTACATGTTTTCCGTTGGTATCAGGGATAATACATTCGGATCTGGTCCATTGAGTGAGCCGTACAAAATTGAGACGCATTTCAGTCCGAGAGCTCGTCCCAAGCAATTGAGAGTCTCACCTTCGGACAAAATCGACACTATATTTGTCAGCTGGAGAGCAAGTTGCGATTTAATCGACACCCCAATTAATTATACAGTAAGTGTCAATTTTTATTTACAAAAAAAAATCAAAATTCTCAAAGAAAAGTATCTATAAAAAAAAGTGCTGTCACAAAATTATTTATTACAAATTATTTAATGAATAATTTTACTTAAATATTTCAAAAATCATTGAATTTTAAAAGAGTTGCGATTACAATTTTCATAAATAGATGAACTTCACAAGGATTAAATTTTAAATTTGTATAAAATTTCAATTATTAATGAATTTAATGAGAAATTTTTAAAAAGTGAATTATTAACAAATAATTTAAATTCTATTGGAATTAGTTAAATTTTTTAATACATATTTAATTAACTATTAAAAATAATGGATTTATAGAAGAATTTTAGTTGAAAACACTGAAAAAATTGAATTTGGGAGAAGTTATTACAAATTATTGCAGAAATTCAATTATTTTCAAAAGTAATAAAATTCTTCGCAAAAATTCAATTATATTCAAAAATTTTTAAAAATTCTCGTCAAAATTCCAATTACCTTTATAAATAATAATTTTTTCCGAATTTCAATTATTTAAAAAAAATTTAATAAAATTCTTGGCAAAATTTCAAATATTTTCAATGATTTTCAACTTCTACTATTTTAATAAAATTTTACAATTTTACAATTCTTTTAGAAATTTAATTATTTTCAAAAGAAATAAAATTCCTTCAAAGAATTTAATTATGTTCAATAATTTAAAAAAGTTCTCGTCAAAATTCCAATTATCTTTATAAATAATAAAATTCTTCTCCGAAATTCAATTATTTAAAACAATTTTAATAAAATTCTACGCAAACATTTAATTATTTTTATAAATAGTAACAATTTTAAAGGAATTCAATTATTTACAAATTGTTTGTATATTTCTTCGCAATAATTCAATTATTTTCATAAATAGTAATAATTTCACAGGAATTCTATTATTTATATATTTTTTAAATAAATTTCTTTGCAATAATTTCATTATTTTCACAAATAGTAAAAGTTTTCAAAGAGATTCAATTATCTCTATAAATAAAAAATTCTTTTTACGAATTCAATTAATTTTATAATTATAATAAAACTTATTGCAGAATTTCAATTATTTTTAATACAATTTTAATCAAATATTTCGAAAAATGTAATTATTCTAAAAAATTTTATTAAAATTCGTCGAAAGAATTCAATTATTTAAAAATTTGTTGTTAAAATTCTTTATGAAAATTCAATTTTAAGAAACTTTCAATTATTCAATAAATTATTTGTTTTTGTGTATATAATTTAATTCTCGTAGAATTTTTTAATAAAAATTGATTAAAAAAGGAATTTTAGTAAAAATTTTAGATAATAATTGAATATTAATAACATAGCGTGAATTTTTAGGAATAATTGAATTTTTAAATGGTTGCAAATAAAAATTTTTGAAAATCTGAATTTTTCATATTTTTGATTAATATTAATTCTGTAGAATTAATATTTAAAAAAAAAGTAATTGATTTTTTTTTGGAAATTATTTGAAGATTTTATTTTCTACTATTTATTGAATCCAAGAATTTTCGAATAATTGAAATTTCGTAAAATTGAATATTGTAAACAAATGAAATTGAAAATTGTCAAAAAACTTATTCTAAAATTATTAAAAATAATTGATTTAGAAGAATTTTAGTTGAAATTTCTAGAAAATAATAATTGAATTGAAAAGATGAAAATAATTTTGAAGAAGTTACAGTAACAATATTTTTATGATATTAAATAATGATTTTATCACTCGAAAATCTTTAATTATTATAAAACATGAAGAAAGCGATCACTCCGTGTCGAAGACTCAGGAATAATGATTAAATATTGATATTGATATTGATCATTATTATTATTAAGAGCTTAGCCCGTATAGGAATCTTGAATAAATAAATAAATATTCTTTAGAGTCATTCAGACTAATTTTTGACTTCTTTCTTGACTCAAGAAAGAAGTCAAAAATTTGTCTGAAAATCAGGGAAAAGTCAGGGAAATACAAAATTAAATTTTTGTGGCAACCCTGAGGAATCGAAAATAAATTTTTAATTGACCGAACTAATATAATCCTTTTTACTTTTTCAGATCTTCGTCACTGAATTGGTGCTGAAGAAACAATCGACAATTACATTAAATCCGACGAATGACACTGTCATGAAGCACATGTTGAAAAATATAAAATTGGGCGGAAAATATCAAATATCAGTCTCGACGGATGTTGACGGTGCTATTCCAACTGAACCAATTATTTATAATGCTCCTCCCATTATACCTCCTCATCAAGTGATAGTCGAAAAGCAGAATGATGAGAAATATATCGTCAAATGGGAACAAAGAAATATGTCCGACAGTTTGAAAAATACTAAATATCATTTCGATGTTCTGATAACAGAAGGAGCGAATATTGTCAACGAAACAAATGCCAAAATTTATAGCAGTAAAAAATCGCCATTTGAATTTGTTCCGGAAAATATTGACGCTATGCACTCAATTGCCGTGCGTTTAGTTAGTGAAGAAGGTTATCACAGCGACCTGAGTGAAGTTGTCAGTCTAGCAAATCCTAATGGTGAGTATTGTTTTAGTTTCTTGATTCTTTTTTGTATTTTTAAGAATTAAAATAAAATTATTGAAAATAATTAACAAAAAAAAACAGTTGCAACAAAAAGTAAAGAATAATTTTAAATCTTGTAAGGAATTATGAATTTTATTTAGTTTATTTAATTTGTAAATACATTTTTAATGATGATGATGGTGTTGTTGTTTTTACAGCTGGTTTAGGAGCTTCGACAATGAATACATCAAACATTCTATCTCTTGCCATTCCATTATGTTTGCTCATCGTAGCATTAGGAGCAGCTCTGGGTTATTTTGTTGTTAGACACAGAAGACTGTCAAATAGTTTTACACAATTTGCAAACAGCCATTATGATACGAGGAGAGGTCAGGCAACTTTCCCTGGCACTACTGATGGCCTAGGTAAGTGATTTTTATTTTCTATTTAATTTAATTTTCTTTCCGAACTTTATTGAGTGTTCGGTTTTTAGTTTTTAACCGCAAAACTTTGAACTCGTACAAAAAATACTCTTTAAATAAAAGAATATTTAAAGAGTATTTTTTGTACGAGTCCTGATATATTTTTCAATTCTCGTGCTTTAATTTAATTTTCGTGTACATAGGAGAAGATTTTTACGAAATTCGAAAATTAATTTCAAAATTTGTTGTTTTATAAATATAACCGAATAGTTTTATTTGTCTGGTAAATAATAATCTAAAAAATAATCTAATTACTAAAATTTTAGATTAGATTAGAAGCAATTCCACGTGAACAGATATAATCGAAAAAATTAGATGTTACAGACATTGTTATATTCGAATTAATATATAAATTCGACAAAACTTGACAGAGTTTAATTTTTATAAAGAATTAAAGAATAAATTAAAAATATAAATTTTTAAAGAATTCGTTGTGTGCCTTTTAGTGACAAAAATCTTTTTTTTTTAAATTTCTTAAACTCTCTTTTTGAAAAATATGGGATTTTAATTTACAATATTTACAAAAACAACATCTTTTTTTATTTTTTTATCATTTTCATTGGAAAGCTGAGATTTTTTCAAATCAAATATGTAATAATGAAAGTGGGACAATAATATATTTTCGAGAAAGTAAAAGAAAAGAATTTTTAAAGACAATTTTTTTATTTTCTTGAAAACCCATTATTTTCTTATTTTGAAACTTTAGATACAACTTTTAAAAAAATTAACACAATTTTCCGAAAGAATTCAATTATTTTCAAAAATTTCACAAAAATTCTTTTTTTGTCCTACCTGCACGGAAAGTATGTCATTTCGGGCACTTAGAGCGGGCGCAAAGTGACTCATTCCAACGCAGGGGTAGGGGAAGCGGGCGGAAAATATTTTGCGCCCGCTTACCATCCTCCAAGCGGGCGCAAAATATTTTGCGCCCGCTTCTTCTACCTCCGAGCGGGCGCAAATTATTTTCCGCCCGCTTCTTTCGTTTTAACGGTCATAAAGTAAAGAAAATTTTGCGTTACTTTATTTTTTTCACGTAAAATAGCTAGTTTCGTATACATAATATGTAAAGTACGTATTTTACCCCCCTCTACTCAAAGATACATTGTGTATTAAACATTTTAAGTAAAAAATGCGAGATATTTTACTGTAAAAGGCCACGTAATTTAACTAAAGTATTTTATGTGTCCAACCCTGCTCAACAAACGATGATTCCGATTCCCTGTCTCATAAAGGTCTTTCTCCAATAGGATTCAAAAAGCGGCGTTGCGTTGATTTGCAGACGCAGTAACGTCGGGTTGCTATGGTTACCCATGCTAAAACCATACGTTAGTTACGCATCGCAGCGTATGAGTTTAGGATTCTATTGGAGAACGACCTTAATATCTGGTTCTATTCCCTCCGAAAAACAACGCCGTAGCGTAGCAGACGACTTAGTGTTAACGATATCAAGCACGTTTCTTTTTGTCATTGCTGAAAATTGTCAAAATTCGAAAAAGATGATGGATAATTCAAATGATTCGGATGAAAATGAAGATACTAATTTCCACACACCACCGGAAATTCGCGAACTTGTGAAAGAGGCTCAAAAAGATTTCCTGCCGTCAACTTCAAAGAATAAATATAACAGTGTCTACACAACATTCAAGACCTGGGCCAAATCAAAAAAGGTGACGACTATTACAGAAAATGTTATGTTAGCATATTTGATAGAATTATCTGAAAAGTATAAACCACCAACGGTATGGTCAACATACTCCATGTTAAAATCTACTCTAAAAAACAATGACAATGTTAACATTGCAAGCTTTATGAAAGTTACAAGTTTTCTGAAAAGAAACTCAGATGGTTACAAATCAAAAAAATCGAAGACGTTATCTCCCGAAAATGTTAACATGTTTCTGTCCGAAGCTCCGGATGACATATTTTTGGCTACAAAAGTAAGTAAAAATATATATATCTATAAAAAAGAAAATAAGATAGAAACAAAATAAAACAAAAATTTATATAATCAATAATTATATATAAAAAAAAGTTTAATAAAAATATGTATAATAATTAATAATGCGTGCAAAAATAATTTCATAACTGCACAACAAATCAACAAATTTATTAATTTAATAAATAAAGTTACACGTTAAATAAATAATTGATAAATATAATAATATAAAAATAAATACTTAAAAATAATCATTTCAAAAAAATCATGCATATCATTGTTAAAATCTATAAAATAAAATGCAAATATTTATTTATAAATAAGTACAATATATATTAAAAAGTATAACAATAACAAAAAAATTATAAATTAATTAATTAAATTTTATAAAGTTAAAAATCAATAATACATTAAAAAAATATTAATTAAAAATAATGATTGCTAAAAATGCATGCATATGATTGTAAAATATATAAAATAAAATAAATAACCTTCTATAAATAAATAAAATATATTAAGAAATGCTTTAATAATAAACAAATAAAACAAAAACTACCAATTATATAATAAAAGCTAATTAAAAATTGAAATATTTTTTAGGTTGCTTTAATTTTCGGCATAAGTGGTGCTTGCAGAAGGGAAGAATTATCAAAAATAAAAATGGAAGATGTTCTTCATGAAGGCAATCTGCTTTTAATAAAAATACCAAATACAAAAACCAAAACACCACGATCATTTACTGTGGAAGGAGAATTTCGAGAAATTGTGTCAAAGTACGAATCTCTAAGACCAAAAAATGCTAATTCGAATAAATTTTTCCTTAACTTTCAAAAAGGAAAGTGCACCACCCAAGTTATTGGGAAAAATAAATTCGGTAAAATGCCGAGTGAAATTGCCAAATATTTAGATCTCGAAAATCCTGAATTATATACCGGACATAGCTTTCGAAGGACATCTGCTACATTACTAGCCGATTCTGGTGCGGACATAATCGCTCTTAAACGTCTCGGAGGTTGGAAAACTTCAGCCGTAGCGGAAGGTAAAATTTCATTTTTATTTAAATTAAAATTTGTTTTTCTAGTATTTGACATTTTATTAAAATCCTCCCTATAACTTTTAACGAAACTTTGTTTTCCTATATTTAAAAATTGTTTAAAAATAACTAATTTATATAATAATAAATAAATAAAAATGAACTAATATTCTAAAAAATAAATATATTTCTAGGTTACATTGAAGAATCAACAACATACAAGAGAAAAATTGGAAATCAAATTGAAGCCTCAGTGAATTTAGCCTCATCAAGTGGTTCAAAGCAGATCAAGGAAATTCCATCGAATGAGTCAAATAATAAAAAATCAAATAAACGAAAAATTATCCACGAAATTGCATCAGATATTGACTCTATTTCAACTGCAGCTAGCTCATCAGGGCAAAACACATCAAACAAAGTTCGGAAAACCAATGACATTCATTATTCATCACAAATTAATAATTCTCAAGAATCAAACAATCAATCAATTACATATAACATATCGCACTGCACATTCAACATCTACAAATAAATAATTTGACATTCACACATCTGTATCTTTTGCTCATATTTTCATTATTTTTTATCTCGCCTCGTTAAGTTTTTGTTTCAAAAAACAACAAATATGTATAAAATTTAATTTTTTCTTAACGAAAGTTTATGAATTTTGTTAAACTACAAAACATACCATTCAATGTGTGACATTTAAGTATTGTTTAAAATATTTTCAAAATAAAAATTTTGGTTCAATTTAAGATGTATTTAAAATATTCTTAAAAAACATATAGCCCCATGCTTGTTTCCTTTAAATCTCTTTTTTAACTTTTTATATACAGTTTGTGTCTAAAATGAAATGCTTTTTGTCCAGGTAGGACAAGAAAGTTTGTTCACACCTCGGACGCAAAAAATAATTGAAGCGAGGGCAAGATTAGGTAAATCGAAAAAATCATTAAAAAGAATTCACTGCTCGTGCCCTCAATGACATACTTTCCATGCAGTTAGGACAAAAAATTATGTTAGCATCATGGGCGCAAAGGTGATTACGACTCTGGCGAAATTTCGGGACCTCGGGACACAATTTCGCTCCCTCGGCTTCGCCTCGGGCGCGAAATTGTGTCCCCTCGGTCCCTTCATTTCGCCATCGTCGCAATCACCTGTTTTGCGCCCTTGATACGAAAATAACTAATAATAATTCAAAAATATTTCCGTAATAAAATTCTTCGCAAGAATTTCAATATTTTCTGAAAATTTAATACAATTCTCCGAAGAAATTCAAATATTTTCCAAAGTTTTTATAAAATTCTTTATTCAATTATTTTTGGAATTTTACATAAAATTTTTGTAAAAATTCATTTATTTTAAAAAACTTTTTATAAGTCATTTCAAAAAATTTTGGTACAATTTCTTTTAAATTTAATTATTTTCATAAATAATAAAATTTTTTACAGAAATTCAATTATTTTTGAAAAAATTCAGTAATTTTCCAAAATTTATTTATTTTTCTTCATAATAATTCAATTCTTTTCATTTTTAAAACTTGTAATAAAATTCTTCGAAAAAATTTAATTATTTTCCAAATTTTTTATAACATTTTTTTATAATAATTCATTTATTTTTATAAATAATAGAATTCTTCGCAGAAATTCCATTATTTTTCAAAAATTAATTAAAATTCTTTGAAAGAACTCAATTATTTTTATAAATAATAAAATTTTTTCGTTAAAATTTTATTATTTTTAAAACTTTTATTAAAATTTTTGGTAATAATTCAATTAATTTTGGAACTGTTCATAAAATTTTTCGTAAGAATTCAATTATTTTCAAAAGTTTATATAAATCATTTTCAAAAATTTTGATACAAATTTTAAAAAAAATTAATTATGTATTTTCGTAAATAATAAAGTTCTTCACAGAAATTCAATTATTTAATTGAAAAAATTCAATAATTTTCCAAACTTTTATAAAATTCTTTATAATAATTCAATTATTTTTATAAATAATATGATTTTTTGCAGAAATTCAATTATTTATCGAAAATTTAATAAAAATCTTTGAAAGAAATCAATTATTCTCATAAGTAGGTAATAAAATTTACGTAAAAAATTCAATTAATTATTTTTGAAAATTTCGTTAAAATTCTTTATAATAATTCAATTATTTTTAAAAACTTTTTTAATCATTTTTAAAAATGTTGATACCATTTTTTGCAAATTTAATTATTTTTATAAATAATAAAATTATTCACCGATATTCAATTATTTTTGGAAATTTTATTGAAATTTTTCTCTAGAATTCAATTAGTTTTGAAACTTTATTAAGATTTTTTGAAAAAATTCAATTTTTTTCACTTTTCAAACTTTTTAATTTTAATAGATTTTCGAAAGATTTTAACTGTTTTCAAAAGATTTTATAGAATTATTTATAAAAAGTCAATCGTTTTACACAATTTTAATAAAATTCTGATAATTATTCAATTATTTGCAATTAAATTTCTCGAAAGAATTGAATTATTTTCAAAATTTTTAATAAAATTCTAAGCAAGAATTAAATATTATTTTAGATTCAAAATTATAAAAATTCCAATAATTACAATATTTCTTTAACAAAAATTTTATCTTTTAAAATTTAGAAAAAAATTCACTTATTAACTTAAATTGCGAAAAATAATGTAATTTGTAAATTTTTCTTACAAGGTTTCGAACTTTAAATTCAATGAAATTCTACTTTAAATTTAATGTTTTGATTATTACTGAAATAATAAGAAAAATTTAAGTAAATAAAATTGTTAGAAATTTAAATTAAAGTAATCACTTTTTAATTGCGAGCAGACATCCGGATGACAACAATTATTAATAATTTAATATAGATTTATTGAAAAAAAATCTAAGCTCTTCAATGAAAATGATAAAAAAATGAAAGAAGATGTAGTTTTTGTAAAAATTGAAATATAAGATTTATATTTGAAAGAAGAGGGATTAACAAATATTTTTTTTGAAAAAAGGTTTTTGTTATTAAAAAATTCCAGAAAATTAAAATTTTTGATCGTTTTTCGTGGAATTGCTCTTGGATAAGTTTATTTTCTTCTTGTAAATTAGTGTAGATTAAACGAATTCTGATTAAAAAAAAATAAATAAATAGCACTTTTTGAAGTGATTCAAAGACTGATTAGAGTATTCGATGTTTTAGAAGAAGAAGACAGTCCAGTGATTAGAGGATTTTCTGACGATGAACCATTGGTAATGGCTTAAAAAAAATTGATGCATATATACGTAATATACTAAAGTTATGCGGACTACTATGATAATAATTGTAATTAGAATTAAAATTTTATTAAAAAAAAAACAGAGAATGGTTTCACGTAAGTCACGCAATCGACTGACCGTCGTCTCTTACGTTAAATCTTTGTATAAAAAACTATTTCATTATTTTATCGAGAAGTAGTTAGCAAAAGTAATTAATTTTTAAAGTAAATTAATTTTTTTGGCACCGCAGTTGCCAAAAATGATGCTTTTGCATACAAAAAGCAAAGAAAAAAAAAAGAAACGAAAAGAAAGAAAATCATAGAAAAGAAATAAGCGAATGTAAATCATACAGGCCGCACTGTACATAGCAATCATTTTCTATGAACGACATATAAAAATATGAAAATACTTCTCGATTCTAGGATGCCATATATTATAGTCGATATTTTAAACAGTTCAGTGCAGTGATGAACCTCTCTTTTTATTTTTCTGTTTTTACTTCATTACGTTTCATAAGTTGTTATTTTAAGAGATCGTCGTCGTTTCATTGTCTAAAAAAAATGAAAAGAAATTTATTGTTTTTTTTTGGCGAAAGAAAAGTTTAACAAAAAAAAAAGAGGAAAAAAAACAAAAAAAGCAAAAAAAAAAAGGAAAGACGAGGGAGATATCCAATTTAAATGTAAGAATTATAAATAAAAAAGAAAACTTGATCTCAACGCGAGAGATCTGGTTCAAATGTCGTCAATTTTTTGCTGTGAAAAATTCTGTTCCTATTCATATTTGTACATTCTTATTAATTACGCTAATGAGTGACTTCGTTTTGAGTGATTCGCCCTCGTGAAAAAAATAACTTTCTGGCAGGCCCGTGTAAAGTTAGTCGTGAAAATATTGTTTCTTATTTTTTAATTACAATATTGTGAATGATGAAAATTTCTCGAAGTTATGAGGTATTCATAATTTATTTCCTTTTTCTCTTCGTACCTCATTTCTACGTTGATGTTTTCATTCGATTTTTTCCATTTTTGTTTAAACAATTATTCAATCTATTGTTTTACACTAAAATAGTTGAAAGAACTTTTTTTTTTTCAAAGCCACTGTCTTTTTGGGACAATTCTCTTGCGAGTAAATATTTTCTTGAAAGTTAATTATTTAATTTGGATGTAATGACATTTGGATGTAAATTTCTTTAGGTAGAAAACAAATTTAATTTTCATTGTAAGAGAAATTAAATTTTTTGTGTAAATTTTTTTTTAAATTAGAAAAGTAGAAAAATTGAACTTAGGAAAATTTTTCTATAAATTTAGAATTCTTTTTCTATCGATGAATATTTTTTCTTATCAATCGCAAGAGAATTTTCTGAAATTAATTAGTGATAGTAAAGTGTAAAAGAAAAATCTCTTTGAAAAAGGAGTCGAATCAACCAAAGTTAAGCCCAGTGTCAGTGATTGCCAATGCAATTAAATAATAAGTTTCTACTTTGTAATGTGACGTTTTTTTTTTTAAAGTTGAAAACAAAGTTTCAAGCAAATGGCTGTTTACTGACAGAAACTATCTTAAACAGGTTGCCAAGAAAATTGTTTTGTTAATTTGAACCTTTAGAGGAGATAAATAAAATGATGATAATGATGATGATGATGAAGATGAGGAAAAAAAGTAGAGCCAAAGAGTGAACTGATAACGATCAACTTAAAAATAACCGTGTTGGTTATTTTTGTGACTATATTATATATATTTATATATATATAAAAAAAAGAATTAACAACTTGTTTTTATCCTTACGACTTTTTTCCCCGTTTCGAATATTATAATAATTGGTAATTTTCTTCAAGAGATATTGAACTGCGTTCCGAGCCAAAACTAAAAAAAAATAAAAACAATCAGAACCGAATGGTTGTTAAATTTAAACAATAAAATTAAGATGTTAAAGTGTCTTTAAAATACAATAATAATAACAGTATAATGATTAATGTATTGTGTCGACGTTTCGAGTTTGAGTAATAGATTTAAATGTCCAAGGCGGGTATTAATTATTATGTAAAAATTGATGAATTACGACGTTTTAATTAATTTTATAAATAGGAAGCTTCGAACAAATTTTGGTTTTAAAGAAAAAAAATAATTGATTTTTCTAAAAACGTAATTCAGAATAATGTGAAATTATAAAGAAAGGTGAATTTTAACAAAAAAGGGGAAAAACTACTTAAAAAAAATTACTGTCTTTAGAAAATTAATTTCTTGCCTAACAAGTTTTTTGTTGTAAAAGATTCTTTTAAAGATTCTTATATTCTCTAAAGAATCTTTCGAGTTCCATTGATAAATTCATTCGGGTGATTAATAAAGACTGAAAACCCTTTTATTTTTATATTCTTTTCATTTGCTTTTCTTTTTTTTTGATAAATATTCTATAAGCTTTTAAATTATTTAAACACTTCGCAACGAAAATAATCGACATGTGTTTTTCGACACTAATTAAATGATTAAAAATTTTGAGAGTCTTCTTTGTTTTTTTAAACTTAATAATCGAATTAAAAAAAAAACCTTCTTGAAGGTCTGTGATACGATAAGTCTGCAATTTGTGAATTTCTAATGTTGCGTTTGTATAGAAAGGAGAGAAAGAGAGAGAAAAAAAAGCAAAAATGATTCTTTTTTAGGTGAATAATGATAATAATGATAATAAAAAAGAAACATTTCAAAGCAGTATTATCAAGGACTGTATTCTCGCCTTGTAATTTTTAAAAATTATATCTAAATAGCTGTATTTGCTATAAAAATGATGATGGAAAATAAAAGAAAAACTCGAACCGATTCGTTGATTCGATGCATGAGTGATTTATATCGCTAATTTATATGTAGCCAATACATATATAACAGTGTCACACAAGTTTCTTTAAAAATAAATAAAAAACAAAAGAAAAAGAAAAAATTGTTACAATGAAAAAACATTCTTACGAAAAAATAGCATAAAGGACTTTGATAAAAATTTCAATTAATAATAATTATGTGAAGAGCAAGATTGTAATTGTATTACTTGTACATGTCGAGGGTTATGTAGCGATCATCAGTGATATAATATATTTACGTGTAAATAAACGAAGTTCAAGCGCAATGTTAATTAGTTATTTTTAATTAGTGACAAAAACCGATTTTAGGTATCATTTTTTTTAATCGTCGATTTTTCTTGTTGTAATTTAATATTTAATACTCTATAAACAATACATTTCTTTTTAGAGTTTTTTTCAATTTATTAGATTTTTATTATTATAAACATTTATTAGTTATTAATTAATTATCAATAATTCATTAATTATTAATTAACTAGAGCGAGAAACTTGGTATTCAATTTATTATTATAAAGTATATCACAAAATCTGTTATTTTTAGAAATAAACTTCTGCTTTTGAATAATTTTCAGATTCAAAACTAAAAACAAAATTTACTTATTAACTGATTAAGTAATTCAATTATTTTTGACAAATTTCAATAAAATTAATCGTAATAATACAATTATTCTCATAAATAATAAAATTCTGCAGGAATTGCATTAATTTAAAATACAATTTTAATAAAAATCTTTTGAAAGAATTTCGTTATATTAAAACTTTTTAATAAAATTATTCGCAAGAATTCAATTATTTTCAAAAGTTTCTACAAAAATCTTCATAATCAATTATTTTCATTTTTGAAATTTGTTTTCGAAAAGAATTTTTCGAAAGAATTCAATTATTTCACAAATTTTTTATAATAAAATTAATAATAATTGAAATTTAATTAATAATTAATTATTTTTTTAATAATTAAATTAATTAATAATAATTGAATTAGGGGCCGTCCATATATTACGTAACGCTAATTTTTGAAAATTTTGACCCCCCCTCCCCCCATGTAACACGCTGTTACATACATTAGCGCCATTTTTTTGGCTTATCGTAACAAATAGCTTGACCCCCCCTCCCCCCAAAAAGTGTTACGTAATATATGGACGATCCCTTAGGTACTTTTCAATTATAGTCATTTTTAAAACTTCATTACAAATCTTCAAAGGAATTCAATTATATTTTCAAGAGCTTTTATAAAATTCTTTTTAATAATTCAATTTTTTTCATAATTCAATTTTTTTCATAAATAATCAAATTTTTCTCTAGAATTCAATTATTTTCAAAAATAATAAAATTCTTTGTAGGAATTCAATTAATTTTAGTACAATTTTAAAACATTTTTTGGTAATAGTTCACAATTATTTTGCAAAATTGTAATAAAATTCAACATAAAAAACTAAATATTTTCATAAATAATAAAATTCGTTGAAAAAATTCAATTATTTTCATAAATAATTAAATTTTTCGCTAGAATTCAATCATTTCCACAGAATTTTAATAAAATTTATTGCAAGAATTCAATTATTTTCATAAGTAATAAAATTCTTTGCAGGAATTCAATTAATTTTAATACAATTTTAAAAAATTTTTTGGTAATAATTCACAATTATTTTGCAAAATTGTTATAAAATTCAACATAAAAATCCAAATATTTTCATAAATAATAAAATTCGTTGAGAAAATTCAATTATTTTCAAGAGTTTTTATAAAATTCTTCTTAACAATTCAATTATTTTCATAAATAATTAAATTTTTCCCTAGAATTAAAATTATTTTCAAAAAATTTTAATAAAATTTATTGCAAGAATTTAATTATTTTCATAAGTAATAAAATTATTTGCAGGAATTCAATTAATTTTAATACATTTTTAAAACATTTTCTGGTATAATAATTCAATTATTTTGTAAAATTGTAATAAAATTCAACATAAAAATTCAAATATTTTCATAAATAAATAAAATTCTTTGCAGGAATTCAATTATTTTCAATAAAATTCTCTTCGCAACAATTCAATTATTTGCATAAATAATAAAATTCTTTGTAGGAATTCAATTTTTTTTAAATTTAATTTTACTAAAAATCTTTGAAAGAATTTAAATATATATTCTAAAATTTTCATAAAATTTCTTGAAACAATTCAATTATTTCAAAAAATTGCAATAAAATTCTATCAAGAATTAAATTATTTCAGATTAGAAATTATGAATGTTACGTAAATTAGAATATTTTCTTTAACCAAAAATAATATTTTTTAAACTCAAAAAAAAAAATCACCTTACAATTATATTAACATAACTAATTAATAATAATAATTATAATTATATTCATTAAAATTATTTCAGATTTTCGGTGCGGTGAGGAATGAAAGGTTAATTTAAATACAGAAAATTAAAATACGTAATAAATGGTTGAAGTTGTAAAGTGCAATAATGACAAATTTTCTCGCAGTTATCCTCGAGGCAGTTTATTGAGTTTATTGACGTTTGATTGGTTGAGTTCAATTTTAGCAGATCATAAATATATATACCTGTGAAAATTGATTCTAACCTCCACGAACGGAAGTGCGGAAATTTTGTAAAATTTTTCGATTTATAATTACATTAGTATTAAATATTTTAATTGGAGTTTCGGGAGTGTTAAAAATTTATATTATCATGAATATGAATTCTAAGCTCCACGTGGTCAAGGGAGTGTTCGAAAATTTTGAAACCACGTGTGTACATTTTTTTTTATCATCAGGCAGAAAATGTTGTTCGAGTGTCTTATTATTGGATGGAGATCAGTGGACGAATATTTAAGGTAAGATTTAGATTTTTCAAGCTTTATAATAATTTACAAAATTTTATATAATTTTATGAAAAATTTCGTTATAATAATGGAGAATTATTATTTTAGGTTAAATAATTAAACCTGTCCTTTTTTAACTTGTAATTTAATTTATTTTTTTGATAAATTTTTGCTATGTGTTTGGTACTTGTAAAAAAATTGGTTTCAAACTTTGGCACAATATTCGTAACTAAAGAATGAGCAAGCATTAATATAATATAATTAAATTAATTAATTAACTAATGGATAATTTTCCATTGGGAATATGAATTCTAAATTTCACGTGGTCTTGGAAGTGAGCTACGAACTTTATTAAAACCACGTTTTTGTTCGATAATTATATTAAATAAATTTTAATCTTCTTTTTAGGAGGGCAAGATTTTAATTTTTTGAATCGTAATTTTCAAATGTTTTTTTAAATAAAAAAAAAGTGCCCTTAAATTTTTTTTAACTCAAAAACTGAATAAAAAGAGAATTTAGTGACATTTTCCTCCCTAAAAATTAGAAATAATATTTTTATTAGCGTTGACGCTAACTCCAGTGGTATTATTATTAAAAATTTAGAAAAAGCCTTTAATTTTTATTTGCTAAGTGAACATTAAAAAAGTTATTTTTTTTCGAAGGATATTTTGGAACTTTTTTTTTGAGGAAAACGAAATACCAAAACTTCCAAAATTTGCATATAAACGAGAAATAGTTGAAGGATTCCGGATGTAGCCGAATCTTAGAAATTGCTAAGTGGAACATAAATAAAATATCCTTTGTATCCAAATTCTTAACAATGAATTCCCGTTATAGATTAATTCCCCAAAAAATTCGAGACAAAGCCCGGAATTTTAAATTTCACGGTTCCTTACTCTATATGTCCTAGAAAAAATTTGGAATTCGAACAGAATTTAATAGTAAAGTTTTTTTATTTATTATTGCATAATAAATAAATAATAATAATAATAAATTCCATAATAAAAAATTATTATTATTAATATTATTACTCGTTATTTTTCAAATTCTTTTTTTCAAAAAGATGTTTATCTTTCCGAAATTGCAAAAAGAAAAAAAAATTTCGTGACTATTATTTTTTTTCAAAAGGAATATGTCGTTTTAAAACTGTAATATAACTGTAAAATGTGACTCAGTCGCGAAAGATCACATAAAGTTGAGTTGTATTTTCATCTTAAAGAGTTGTTGTTAAGTATATTATAAATTGTAATAAAATGATTAGTCTCTCGAGACTAGATTCCTTTTTTTTTCGTGTAATAGTAGCTGTGGTATAACGTAAGTTAAATTACTTTTGACATCAGTCCCGTAAATGGTATCATGATGAATAAAATGTATAACACCTATTTCTTCTTTGATTACCCGGAAGCTTAAAAATAAAAATTTAATAAACTCCATTCAGAGAATGCGAATTGTTAGGTGCTTCTGTCACGAAATTCCACAATACGGTTACTTTTTATACACATATATATACAGGTGAATTTCTACAATTTCTCAAATTAAATTTCCAATTACGTACGTACATATTTATACACAGAATATTAAGGTTTATTATTTTAGAAAGTTATATTCCAAGAGATAATTATAGATATTTGTATATTTCATCTGTAATTATGGATTCTATCTATATCTATTGTTAGAACTATTTCGAAAATCTCACTTTTAAGGATTTATTGTTTTTTCTATTGCAGTTTAGTTTTTGAATTATTTTTATAGTCGAACGGATTTTTATTTCATTGGTGCAATTTTTCTTTCTTTATATTTAATTTGGTTCGTTAGATTGCAGGTTTATTAATTTAAAATCACTATTCTCAAAAATTATAATCAAATTTTTTAAAACGATTAAATTATTTTCAAATATTCGAAATTAAATTACTTTCAATATCTAGTATTTTCATAAAATTTCGCGAAAGAATTGAATTATTTAAAAAATAAAATTCATCCAAAATTCAATCATTTTCATAAATAATAAAATTTCCACAGGAATTTAATTAATTTAGAATAGCAATTACAAAAAAATTTAGAAAAAATCAATTATTTAGCAACATTTTTATACAATTCTTCACAATAATTCAATTACTTTCATTAATAATATTTTTTATGGAAATTCAATTATTTAACAAAATTTTCAATAAAATTCTAAGCAAAAATTCAAATTAAAAAAAATTCAATTATTTTCACAAATAAAATTTTACACAAGAATTCAATTATTTAAAATAAAATTTTCATAATATTTATGGGTCAGAATTCGTGAAATTTTCACAGAAAATAAAAAGTAATTTTTTTAAATCGAAGTGTTGAAAAAACATTTCTATTTGGCCTTAAGAATGTGTCCACCAAAAAACAGGAAAAAAAAATTATTTTTTATAAAAGTTATTGCAAAATTAATTTTTTAGCAACTTTTTA